AGAATGCTGTGGGAGACAGTGTCAAAGGCTTTACTGAAGTCCAGGCGGACCACATCCACAGCCTTTCCCTCATCCACAGCCTTTCCCTCATCCTCTAGCCGGATGTATGTTAATTCATATCAGTATTTTAAACTTTCTTGTTTCATTTCACTTTGACAGAGGAAAGTATTCTAATATTCTGTGTTGCATAGGCTTCATTTCTAGGTTTGTACTTGATCAATGATCAGGCGAGATCTGCCTAGTTTTAACTTGTCCAAACCCAGTATATTTACTCAGACAAATAAAAGCCAAAATAGGGGCCTGTTAGTCTTTTTAGGTGGAGTTTGGGTATTGCAAATCCTGGGCCAGGACCCTGATAGTGACTTTGGCCATAAATGCTGTGATTTGAATTGGTTGGGCAGTCGTTCTGTGAGGGGTGGGTTGGGGGTTTTTTTTGAACAGTTAGGAAATATCAGTACTGTGTACAAATAGCTATATATAGTTATGTAGAGGTCTATATGAAAATAATGTACAAATGCAGCGTTACTGTTGAGGGACTTGATCTCTTTTGAGAGATCCAGGAAGCCCTTGTTTCTATTCATGGATATTTATTCTCCTTTTGGCTCTGACAGGGGAGAGCTGGCCTGAGGGGAACTAGCAAATCCTTCCTCAAGCTGCTATGCTGTAAATGTCATAAAACAGCAATTCTTTTTTTCAGGATTTTGTGAACCTGTGTCTGACTTTGGGAGGCACTCTTGAAGAGTCCTACAAGTGAACTGCTTTAAAGAGCTATTTTAAAATGGTTTAGTGTATGGGGAGTAGGAAGATGGTGTTTTTCAAGTGTGGATGGTATAAAACTGTACACAAATTCACTTCTGGGTACATGTTTTTTTATTTTATTACTTTTGCTACAACACTAAAAATATTGACTGGAGTAGTCAGTGCAATCAAGTGTAATGCAAGGGGTCAAAGTAATGATCTTAAGCATTTGCTCCAAGGGTCAAGGCAGATTTAAGCAGTTTGTATCACCCAAAGTTACCTTTATAATAATCCTCTCTTTCTTGACCATGAAACAGCACTTGTCTCAGAAAGAATAAATTCTTGACTTTTGTTTTCTTACCAGCTAGCAATGGGGAGAACACAAACGTATTGGGGAAGCCATTCAAGAGTGGAAGACAAGGTTGAGCAGGGTTTGGTCTGACTCCTGGGAGACAGGACTGCTGTTCAATGGCTTGCTCTACATTTTTGAACTTCAACAAGTCACAAGAATCCCATTCCCCATTTTCATTTTGTCTAAAGTAATACTTACTTAGACTAATGTAAAGCTTTCCATCCTGCATGGAAAACACCATTAAACTAACAATGTTATTTTATTTCCAATTAATTTCCTACACTGCAGCTAAACAGAATATAGATAATCAAAAATGTTTGATGCCATATTTGTGCTATATTGTCTGACTCTGCCCAAAAACATATCACATTGTTCATGTAACATCATGACTGTATTAAGCTTATTTCATATTACGTATAGATAAAGTTAGTATAGCATAGAATATTTTTTAAACTACTAGCTGGAAGAGGAGGGGGAAAAAAGCCCCAAAAATTCAACTCCTAAGTATTGCATAAAGATGCTAGCACCACCCAACTTCCTATTCCCCCATTGTTTCTGCAAAATAAATACCGAAAAACAGATGTCTGGAACATAATGAATTTGAATGTCCCCCATAACAAATTGTTACTTGTAAGCTGGAAAGGGCTTTATGAATTTTACTTTATGATTCACTCTGTTATTACCATAAAGATTGGGAGTTGCACAGAAGTGTGTTAAAGAGAAGAATCATTAATATTCTTTACAGCTTGATCTTGTTGGTTCAGATACGAACTGTATGAATTCAGACTTTTTCCCTTATGTAAAGTCTTCAGCTGCTCCCTTTACCGGATTTAGAGATTATTAAAAAAATCGTAATAGCAGCTCAGGGAACAGTTGAGAACTGTGTGTCCTATACTGTCTGACCCTGACCAGCTTTTCTCTGTGTGTCTTTAAATCTTCATGTAATATAATTCGTAACCAGTTCTGGTACATTTTAATGCATCTAATCTCTCTGAGCCCAGATTTTGTACAGCCAGCATGTGGAGCTCTGGGTAGGCAGCTGTTGGGACTGCTGGCAGTCGACAGTGACTGCAAAATTAAAATAGATATTTGGATGTTACAGAAAGTCTTTCATCGCCGCAGCATTTTCGCTGCAAATTTAAAGCAGCTACAAGTGGAGAGCGGCGCTTTGAGCTGCTCATTCTTATTCTGACTGCAGCTTGCACTGCAGCATTTCTGTACACTTCATGTTTTTCTATTAGAAATGGCATATTAAAGAGATCCTTTTAAAATTTTTTTGAGGCTTAGAGGACCTCTGTATAGAAAGTGTAGTCTGCTAGGCAGGGTAATGATTTGCCAGTGTAGTTCCTGACTGATGCTAGCTCAGTGAGTGAGGCACAGAAAGTCTCTCCCCAGCCCCTTTACTGCCCTGGCTGCTAGCTGAAAAATAGACATATAGATGATCATATTTTATAAATACACCTTTCTCTTAAGAGAGTTCTAGAATTAATTTAATTCTATTGAATTCACTGATGTCCTGCAGCAGAAGGCAGTATCCACTGTTCCGAACAAATTCTGTTGCCAGTTGCCAGACTTTATTGTACTTTTGATTTTCTCTCATTTTCCTTTGGGGAGGTTCCTAAATTCTGTAGGTACATGAAAAAACAGAGGAGTAGGATTTAATGCAGAAGTCTTCAGAAATATTTCAGTGTGTGAAAGTAAAAAGGTTATTCCATTTGATGTAAGACCTGTAGTGAATATTAAATTGCAGGGACTTTATCTGAATAACTGTAGATATGTTGTGATTTGATGGTTTTACCCCAAACATCCAAAAAGGATGTATATGACTGTACTAGCAATCAATATACGTGGATCTTAAATGCAGTCATAGGAGTCTTTAGATGGTTTCCCAAACTAGCATCTCAAGAAGAAAGCCCTGGCCAAAAAATCTCTTTGTTTCTAATTAACCAAAGTATTGCAGCAGCATTTTAAGTCAATTTTAATGCAATGCATTATTCAGAGGTTATTCTGGGGTTTTTTTTCCGCATCTTTCTTGTTGCCAGGGGTTCTGTCTAGGAGACTTTGTATTTTTCTCGGTCTTCAAGTATTGATCAGTTAATTTGTTTGTCAAGATTATAAACAGTGTTAGCTTTAAAAAAAAAAACAAACCTAACACACAACTAATTGTTTTTCCCTATAGCTCTCTCTCCTTTAGATCAGTTGTGATATTTTTTTCTCCAAATTCGTTGCTAGCATTTTTAGTTGAATGAGGTTTTAGCTAGGTCGTACTAAACTCGGATTTAATGAGAAACTGGAAAAGTAACTGAGAGCAAGCATAAAAAAAGTCAGCACGAATTCCTCTTGGTCCATGTACATGATACATTAATGCTTATTATTTATTTAAATGCTTCAAATAGGGTTGGAACCACAAAGGAAGACAGTCTGCCTTGTGAAGTTTGAAAAAGACTGGCCCACAGAGGGCTGTATTTGAAACTCCGGAGAAAAAGGAAAACAGAGGATTTAAAGATATTCAGCCCATAAAAATGCTATTTCTGTTGGGTAGCATGGAAGGAAATGTCTTAAGGAATTTGAATTAGCATGTAGTGATGGTTTAGAGAAATGGAGCGGGCTGGTGTCCGCTTCATCGCTTGGGCTGTTCCCTGTGCGGACCCGTCCTCCTCCCTCCCGTCCTCCCCAACAGAGCCCTTCGCTGTTTCCACCTGATTCATCACCTTGCCTTCAGCACTGAAACCAGCTCCCAGGTTCTCAGATAACCACTTTTGTGCTGGTCTGCACCACCCTGCACGCCGGAGAGATGTTCTCCGTAAATATTGACTCCATCACCTCACTGTTTTCCTTAAAATCCCTTTTGATGCTCTTTGCCTTTATTCTGCACAGTTCTTTGCAGCGGCTAGCCTGCCGGTACGGTGTGACCTCTGCCCATGTAGATAGATCGCTCTTGTCCCCTGTTGCCTTGTGTTTCTCGTCTCTTTGCTGTTTCTTTTTCCGGACTGTAGATGCTGCCAGGTAGAGGTGATATATCATTTTTTGGTGCGTGCACGGTACCTGCCGAATGGGATTCAGCGCTGTGACTGAGCTGCCTCGAAGTTACCTTAGAAGAGATACCTGAAATAATCATAGTGGTTAAGATGTGATGGGAAGGCAGCAGAGGAATAGGACTGCTGGGAAGTTTTCATAGGCTCTCTTGCTGCTGGCAAAGAGGTGAAAGTGGGAGGCAATGGAATATGAGGCTAAATCGATTGTATTCTGTGGGACAAAACTGTATTATGTTTGCAGGCAATGACAGGAAATTTAGAGATGATATGGTGGGAAGAGGGATTTTGTGGCATTTAAGGAGGCAGAAAGGTTACATGTTCAACAACAGGCTTGACAAGGGATTTGAATTATTTCCTTATGCGTGCATTTAGAAGAGAGGTTAGTATGATAATGAAGGACGTTAAAGAGAGAGGAATTTTGATCAAAAGATGTGCAATTTTTAGGGCTTGGATAACAAAAACTGCTTTTAAAATAGGTGAAAAGCAGTGCTATGCAGGCTCAGTTAAGAGAGACGGGAAACACAAGATCAGGCATCAAAGGTGAATCCTGTAAGTGGATGATTTTCTCTGTGACAGAGTATATGGTAGTGCTGTCTATTGTAATAGGGTATAAGAGAAAGAGAGATTTGAAACATTAATAATGGTGTTCAGTTCCTGGCTTGAAGGCAGGATCCTGGAGATTTTTTTGAGGTTTTTTGTTTTGTTTTCTTTTCTTTTCTTTTTTTTAATGAATGGCGGGACTGGGGGAAAAGCTGGAGTATATTCAGGCAAAAGATATGGAGTAGGCAGGAAACGAACCGCCTGAACTGCTAATTAGCTGGTAGTAGACAGATCACTTGTGCTCAGCCCCTGTTTTTCTTCCCCCTGTGTTACAGGCCAACAACAAACCGGAGATCGAAGCAGCCCTGTTCCTGGACTGGATGAGGCTGGAACCGCAGTCCATGGTGTGGCTGCCCGTCTTGCACAGGGTGGCTGCTGCTGAGACCGCCAAACACCAAGCGAAGTGTAACATCTGCAAGGAGTGTCCAATTATTGGATTCAGGTACCAGCTGGCTCCCTTTCCCATGTGTACTGCTGCTTGGTGGATCAAGAGCTCTGCTTGTTTCCAGGCGAATCATGTTCTTGATTTAATGCATGTTGTTCAGGGAAAAAATGATTGTGACAGGGCATGAGGGAGAGTGACACCTAGATTGGGTACAGTGATGCGAGAGTTGAAGAGAACAAAAATCATCTAGCAGTTAAGATATGGCCCTTCTTCTGTGTCCTGCTCTTGCCTGCACTCCTTCCGTACCTCAACCAGAGTGTTGGTAGATCGCACAACTAATACGATTTGGTTTACATTCAATCTGTCCTATGCATGCAGTTACATTTTCTGAATTGGATCCTAATGAATTGCTTTCTGTCATGGTATAAAGCAAGGAAGTGCCTTGAAAATTCACAGACGTGTAAAGCTACATGTGCGTTTCTCAGAGAAAGAATGTAGTTGGTGGAACATTAACCTGGAGTGAGGAAAATGTTGCTAGTCTATTTAAACATCTGGATCGACACCATGGTTACTATGGCAATGAATAAGTCACTGTGTTGTAAAATGGCTGTGTGTTGGTAGGCCTGTTGAGAATCCACTTAAAGGCTAAGTAAATACTCACTTTCAATTATGCCTAGACTTGTTTTATCACTTTGCTTCGCAATAGCTGCTTTGTATGGTTTCCGTCCTTTTTACGCACAGTCTTCTTTTACCATTGGCATTTCTCCTTCTGTGGAATCGTGTTGTTTACAAAGAGCTTTCTGTAATTTTGTTTTTAAAACCCAGATAGACAGCAGCAGCAGCAAACAGTACCACATAGAAAAGCCATCATTTTGCTCTAACCTGGGAGAGTATGAATGTTGCTTTTATGCCTGTAGTGGGGCAGTGCTTTCTCCTATGCGATTTCACAGGCAGTGGGAAACGGGAAATAATGAAGATACTGCTTTGTTTTGAAACTGATTTTTTTCTTCAGTGAGGCTGTTCCTCTAATCATCTCAATTCTTCTCTTTCTGCTTTTATTCCTCTTGAATATCTTAACTGGGAAATGATAAATATTTCTGAGAAAGAGCTAGGGATGAGATGTGAGTAGTTCAACACATCCAAAAATACTAATTTTCCCGTTCCCAAATAAGGTTTATGAAACTACTGAATTACTTAAATGGTTTTGTATAAACAGCCAAAGACAAGTAGGTGGAATTGAAAAATGCAGCACTTGGAAAATCAAAGGATGGCAAGTGAATGGATAGTCTGTAGTGAGCATGGAGAACTTGGGAAGCGGACACTGGAGCTCTCTGTTTGCATCCAATTTTACTTCTCTGATCTCATCTGGCTCTTAAATTTATATAACAAATCTATTATCATCATAGTCCAATCTGTCTGTCGAAGATTTTTTCTCTGGTTTTGCAAGTCATTGAGACCCTGTGTACACACTTGACAAAAAGATACTGTATTGGAAGGCTTTTAGAAAGCTAATACTGTGTGCCTCAGTACGTGTAAAACAATGTTCTTTTGGGGTCATTGTGACTGAACTGCTTCGCGTATTTGGAACAAGACAACCCTTATGCCTCCGGCCCTTTCAGGCACTTCAGCATAGCAGATACAACAGTTAGCTGCCTCATAGAGCTGGTGAGATCAAATAATGGCCCGAAAGTGCATTCGGAGTTTTGCATGGATGGAATGCCATACAGGAAAACTGTTTTGATAGAGGTGCTAGGAAGGACACAAACAAATTCCTGTATGCAGCACTTAGGAGTTTGCTGGAGTGAATTGTTGAGGAGGGCGTTACTTACTTGAATGTTACTTCCTCAGGACATTCTGTGTTAGGAATCATAATGAAGAGCAAAAAGACTGAAATTAGCATTATAGAAACAAAAAGAGTGGTGGTGTCTTTCATGTGTTAAGAGAGAGTGATTGTGTAGAAATCTTTGCTGTTGCCCAGTGTTAAAAATTTTTTTTAACATTCAAATCTTTGATAAACCTCTGAGGCAGCAATACCTGTCCCTCAGTGGCGGAGGAACATTGCGCGGCATTGCACGACATGTGACATCTCAGGGAAGAGAACTTACTAACGCAGAAAACTTGACAAGCTGATATGAAGCATTCACATACAAAGCTCTGAAGCCGTGGGTTTTTTTCCTCCTCTTTTAGGTACAGAAGTTTAAAGCACTTTAACTATGACATCTGCCAAAGTTGCTTCTTCTCTGGCCGTGTTGCTAAAGGTCATAAAATGCACTATCCCATGGTGGAATACTGCACACCGGTAAGTAGCTGTTTTACTGACCCTTACTGTCCCTTCTTATGTAGAAAGGAAAAACTTCATTTCCTATGTGCAAGGTAATGGAGCATTTGGGTGGCTTTTCTTCCCCCCGCCCCCCCATAATCACCTTTTATATACTACACATGCCAGCAATTTCTGATGCTTAGTAAAGGATACTCCAATGGTTTGAAGTAAATTGAAGTTCATTGTTTGTACCATGCTGTGTCGTAATATATTATTGCGTGCTAATGACTCATTCCATGTTCAGTGCCATAGTTCGCTTTACGGATCCTGCAAAAAGCCTGTGATATGTGCAAATACGCATTCGTATCTTAGGTCGCAATGTTTTCTCCATATCAGTGTGAGATTTTTCTTCCTTTCCTCAGCAAGTTGTTTTCCCTGCAACATTATGATTACATTTTTAAGTTCTTTACTATTTAGTAGTACCCTTGTATGATCACTTGATAATATAAAATACCAGGGAAGTTCTCAAGAGTAGCAAGTTAGATTTAATTTCTGAAGACTGGAAGCCAGGGTGTTCAATGCAGCACAGTGCAGATGTGCTACATCGATGGTGTGGTGAGGGTCTTCACCCTTGTTTCACAGCTCTCAAAAGGATCGCTTTTGCGTAAACATTTCTTTCATACCAGACAGTGGCAAAGGAAATTCCATATTACTCTCTCTGTGTGCTGTGTTTTTTTTTTTTGCCACTCATGACGAGGGCAGAAAGGCAAGGCATAAATTAGAGGAGCTCACAAGTTGTCCTTCCACAATGCAGCATGACTGAGCTTTCAGCTGCCTTTGCTATTGTTTGTGGTGGTCTTGAAGCAATGCGCTCTCTGGTTATCATTTTCTCGTGTGATGGGATGGTCCCTAGTCTTGTACTTTCATCTGCTGGTCAAATCTAAATGGTGAAAATAAAGCACCAAAATTATACATGGGCTAGCCTCATAAAATCATGTAAATGGGCTTTACATCTTCATCCAAACAAAAAGGCATGGCCAAAATAAAAGTAAAGATGTGTCTTTTCTTGGAAACTTGGGAAAGAGAGAGGAAAAAATATTCCCCTAAGATACTATAGTAAAGCAAAACCAGTATTTTTGTTAGTTTTAATTTATGGATATTTATTTACATTGTCTACCAACTTTTACTGTAGCATATAAATGGCAGTATTTAATCTGAATCTCTGCAAGGGCAACTAATGTGTCGGTATTCATGGACTGCTGCTTTTCAGCGTCATCCCCGGGGGGGGAGGTTGGCGATGTGCCTGAACTGCTGCACAAGTCTGCGCTGCCTGGGCAGGTCAGAACAGACTTCTCCATCGCAGGCATTCCTAGAGCAGACTCTCATGATCTGAGTCGTAGGCAGAGTGAGCAACTGATCGACCGCGTTAAAGCATTCCTTCCAGCTGCAGCTGAATACTTCCTTGCTGAATTGGCTATGGTTCGTTTTGCAGTTTGCCACTCTTATTCTTGCTAATAAGTGACATGGGAGATTTGTGAATGGTGCACAGACCAACATCTTACTACTGTTTTCTTAACCTGTTCATAAGATGATGTGTTTTGAGGAGAGAGAAATGAAAAAGCATTGGGAGACACCCCCACAGCCTGCAGCAACTCACTGGAACACAGGGTCCAGCAGGTTTCTGCTCCCCCTAAAAATGCCGATTACTAACAGGCGAACACAGTGGTGAACAGAAAACTTGCAACCGCATCCAGATTGCTGGATCAGAATGAAGAACCATTCACAGCCAGTACATTTTTTTGTGAATCCTGAACTCCAGCAGCCCATGCTAATGTGCCGTGCCTGGCTGCACCAGCAGCCAGTTGAATTAGAGAAGGATTAACCGGGGGGGGAGAAAAAGTGAATGTGATGCACAGCAAGCCCTGATGTTTTTTGTGTTGCTGCTATTGAAAAAATAAACCCAGATACTGTGTGACTGAACAAGACATCCACTGAAGCTATCATCTCTAGTATGTAATTGTTTCCTAAATGAATGAAAAGGGGTTTGCAGGTGGCAGAGCATTTTTTGCTCTTCCTCCAGACAAATCTCTCACCTTAAAATGCATTTTGGCAGACAGAAGACATGTGATGCCTTCTTTGATATATCGTTGCAATAGCTAGATGTGCACAACAAAGTGTTTTGGTATTTTTATTCCCCCTCCCTCTTACTTCCAGGAAATTTTGGAGCACTGCATTCTTTAATTCTGCTTAGGGGAGATTTGAGAACTCATGCTAAATATCTGAGGGATGTGATAACTTTTCCTCTCCTGCAAAAGATTGAGGCAGAATAAGGGCAAGGCTGTTCCCTAATTTTCACTTAGATAGAAAAATTGCAACAATTATTCCTGAAAGCAACACAGCTCAATTTATTGTTCAAAGAGAGGTGACTTTTAAAGAGGTTTCAAATAAAGCGTAGAAGACAACTTCTAGGCTGGGATTTAAATGTAGGATCATTTTTCTGCTTGGGTTTAACGAACAGCGACACACCAGCATAAAAACCACCTTGTTAGAAGGAAGCATGTCAAACTGAGATACCTTTCTACAGCTAGTGTTTACGGTCGGGGCTGAGGGCTGCGGAGGGGGTTTGGCAAGGCACTTTCTTAAACCAAACTGCAAAAAGTCAGATGGTGGTGAAGTTCTCCTTATGTCATTAAATGGTTTTGGTTTCAGAATAGTTTTGGAACATGCTCGGCCCAGCTGCCTATGTATTACTTTGATTTAAGAGAGCTGCGATGCTGAAACACCACTGTTTCTTCCTCGTAAACCAGTTCTGCTGAGAATTTTGTTTTGGATGATTTTACTCTGAAAATCATGGTGAATAAAGCATCTGTGGAATAAATCAGAAAGTTTGGCTGAAAATAACCTCAGTCTATCGTCTTGTCCACATAATAATCACATTTCCTTTGCCTTTCTTGTGCTCCTTGAACATTTTTGAAACGGAAATTGGATCATATAAGAGGTACCTGATGCTTCTAGTTGTCACTAGGAGACATATTTTCTTCTCGGGATCCTTGTGCTACCAGCTAGATCAGGATGTTTCTGTGCAAACACACCTTTTTACTGTTTCGTTGTCATGCAGAAGGTTCAAGGGAGCCGGCAGGGGTAACAGTCCTAGGAAGGTCAAAGCGAAGAATGTTTTATTGTTAATCATGCCTGAAAACACTTAATCCAAATTACAGTCACGTGCAATGGGAAGTGTTCACAACACTGAAAATAGACAAAGCAGGAATAAGTGGTTATAAATGACACAGGTGAACAAACTGAACAGAAAGCCGTGCTTAATCCATTTATACTGAGACTAAATATTAAAAAGTTTTCCTCTGTTCCCAGCTGATGTGCTCTGTGAGCTCTCCTGATGCTGCCCTGGTTAGGAGCTCTCCTAGCAGGCATTGCAGGTGGCAGTCGGCAGAGGGAATTCCCTCCTGCTGGGGCATGCGAGGCCACCTCCGAAAATCCCCTTTCCGGAGTCCTCTGGGTGGTCTGGGCATACTTAATCCCTCCCTTCCCCAAAGTGTCTTAACTTCTGATATATTGAGGAAGTGATACTTAATATTATCGAGCATTATCTCAGTTTGTTGAAAATACAGATGTGTTTCTGCTGTGTCACTTCTCCGCCAGTCATTGCTGACGCCAAATTTTCCTACCAGACAGCCTGACTGGAAGGAGAGCCAAATTCTTTCCAGCTTTACATGAAGCTTGTAGGTGTCATCAGTACAGGGATAATATTTGTCCTTTCTGTTAATGCATTTCAGTCTTTCTGCAGATTATTTTTCAGGGCATCCTTAATTTTTCTACCTAGGCAATCATTAAAAATACACACATCTGTGTTTCAGCAGCTCTGTGAAGGTTGGCTTGACTGACAGGTCCCAGCACCTCCTTTCTCTCTAAATAGACGGCATAGAACTCATTAAAAAGTGTCAGAAAGGTTAACTTTTCCCTCATTTCTTTCCTTCAAATTAGATAAACTGGAGAAGCAATATCGTTATGTGGGTCAGGAACAACTTAATTTGCTGTGAAAGAGCAGTGTTTCAGGGTCGAGTGTCTCTGCGAGGTGCAGGGAAGGGAGTGCAGCCTGACTAAAGTAACTGAAGTCTTCCATTAAAATTCTTCAGAAAATCGCCCAATGCTTAATCAGGCTCTCAAGAAGTCTTGCATCTTCCCAGCAGACATCCTTTGAACTCTTCCTGGCTCATTCTGGTCTTTAGGAAACTAATTCCACTTTGCGCTCCTCTGCTGGTCTCTACAGCAGAAAGGAAAGCCGACTGCAGGCAAGGGAGTAGAAAACTGTGCAAATTGTACTCTCTTCAGGATGTTGATCTTAAATGCCTGCTACCTTCAGATTAACAGGTGCGGGAAGATAGAACTGATCAAAGAGCTTTTCAGCAGCTCTCACCTGCTTTTTGTTTCTCTTTGATGAAAATATTAATGGCAGAGGAGGCTGAGAAGGAAAACCGGAAAGAAAACGTACCGAGAGTACGGGTCTGACTTTCGTGGACTTACAAGTCCATGAGATATAGATGATGAGCATGTGGTAAGAGTCAGGATCCAGCCAGTGAAACAGCTAGCTGGACACACGGACCAGCTGTGTATTCTCCATTACAGCCATTCTAGTGCTGAACAAAAAGCAGGCAGAGAGTCCCCTGAGCCAGATGAAGAAATGACAAATTCTTGTCTGATTATTGCTTGTCCTCCTGAGATCACCTGAGATGAGGCATGAGCCTGTCAGGGGTTTTTGGAACTTCCCTTTTTCCTCCTTCCTCCCCACTAGCAGTGTTGTTGTGTAGTACATTGTAAGGTGATGGTGATAAATAAATAAAATCTGCTGTTCCGGAGGTCAAGCCGTAGGCAGCTGTGCTTGGTGTGGCCACAGCTCTTCCAAGTGACCCAGCAAGGGAAGAGGCAACCAAAAAACCATGATAACCTCATGAAAGATGATTTCATTGTGATTTGTGGCTTTCAGACAACTTCAGGAGAAGACGTCCGTGATTTTGCCAAGGTACTAAAAAACAAATTTCGAACAAAAAGATATTTTGCAAAGCACCCACGAATGGGCTACCTGCCTGTACAAACTGTCTTGGAGGGAGACAACATGGAAACGTGAGTAGCTCTGAAGTGTCTAAGTAGCGATTCATTTGGTATGCTCTTTGAGCTCCCCAGCTGGTGCCAACTCCCTTCACTTCCTAAATGCATAAAGCCTCTTTATTTTTTTCATTTTTGTTAACCTCTGCTGGCAGGAAGACACAAGCTGGGATTCCAGTTGCCATTGCTTTTATCTGATTTCACCTGACCTTGTACAGGAACTTCAGTTAGTAAAAGAAAAATACTTACCGTCTTACTGACAGCCTTATAAACTTCAAAGTTTGATATGGCAATTTGGAGACTAATGATCTCTTCATTAAATTTTTATTTTCTTCCAAATGGGTATCTTTCTGTGGTTTTATTTTTTTTAATTAGGCTACTGTGTTTGCAAGCTTCCTAGCTGATTTAATCTTTTCTCACACTATAAATTTAGTCTTATTAAATGACTTTGAAGTCTTTATGGAAAAAAAAAAGCAATAATGATGCACATGGAGAAATCAATGAGTAACCCAGTTCCCTTTGGTTTTTTTTACAAATTTAATCAGTTGTTTAATGGCAATTGCACGCAGCTTGTTCTCGCTCTCTCTCTTTCTCTCTCTTTTTTAATTTTAGATTTCAATTTTTTTCTCACTTTTTGGTTGGTTGCTCTTCACAGTCATTCATGTTGGTCTGTTGGATTTCTGTTTTTTAGTTGTTGTGATTTTTCTTTTTTTTTTTTTAAACCTTTCTGTAATTATTTTGCTGCTGAGTTTCTTCTGCCTCTCTCTTCACCTCCTCATTTTTTGTCTTGCAGTCCTGTTACTCTGATCAACTTCTGGCCAGTAGATTCTGCGTGAGTACTTTTGCTGAAGTGTGCTGCTGCTGCTACTGCTGCTGCGTTCCCTCACTTTTTTTGTTTGTTTCTTTGTTTAGTTTTACATAAGTTCATTTCCTTCTTTCTTTATGATTATTTTCTTTGGTACACTCTCTGAAGGAAGGTTTTGATCCCAAGTGAATAGAATGGGATAAATCCAGGAATTCTCAGCAATTGTGGATTGTGCACTGTATACTCTTTCTGGAGTATGTATTTTCATCGAATTAACAGGGATTTTGGTGCAGTGCTACTAATGCTTATGAGAGTTTGTCGTTTAAAAGCCTGTGTTTCTGATTAAGTGTCAATCCCTCTGAATGTGTACTAAATGCTTTTTGAACGATATAAATTGAACTTGATTGGTTTAATTCAGTTTCAGGAATGACGTTGGTTTGTAGATAAAGCTATAAATTGGTTTTACGCACAACCATGCACACCTGCACGCTCACGTGCCCCAATTAATCCAAAGCTCACTGGATATTTTATTACAGTTTTTTAGATACAGTAAAATTTGTGAAGGCAGGTTGAAATGGGAAAATGTTTACTGTATTTTTTTCAGAAGTTAAAAAAGCAGGATTTTTCAGCTATGGACTGGAATTTCATTCTTGCACCATTCCTGCACGTGCATTGTCTTACTATTGTAGTAATACCCTCAGCATAAACTAAAGATATATGTACTTACCATTGTGGCATTTGCTACTACTAGTGTTACATGGATGATTTTAGAATAATGTTAAATAAGGATTATTTTAAATTCACATATTGATAACTATTGAGAAACTAATAAATAGAATTTTATATATTTCTATATCGTGAAATGTATATGGCTTGCACCTTCATTGAATTTTTGGTAGAATAAACCATAGTGAAATGTCTACATTTGAATATTGATTTATATTTTTATTTGAAGCACAAAAGATTGGGAAGTCAAATGAAGTGCTCTTCCTCTAGGAAATTTACTTTAAGCAACCAAAAAACGTGTATAGTACTGCAAACCTCACATGGTTGAGGATTCACCCTCAAAAACACCAAAAGGCTGGAGCCAAACTGAGATAGAGGGGCTTTGAACTTTAGGATGCATTTTCATTTATAAATGCGTCTGGGGATGATTGCAGCATACAACATACTAAACTGTGGATCTAGATTTCTTACCCTTGAGAACAATTGAGAAGTTAAAAGTAACATTTAAAGAAAGCGTGGATAGTATGGAATGCCATTGTTTTGTCTGACATAACATGAAATTAAGCTGCTATAACGTGCTTAATTCTAGCTCACTTACAGCAATAACACCATGGTATGCCTATACCGATAGCTTCACACAAAAGGTTTGGTGTCATCTACTACAGGGAGTTTAACTCGCATGTAACACCTAAGAAAACTTGAAAAGCACTGAGAAGCAGGATTTGTACGGAGAGGTTGCACCTTTTATCAGATCACCTCAGGTATCTTCCTGAGCACAATCCTCTTACTTGGTCTGATAAGAAAGCAGAAAATTAAGAAATTAATAGTGGCTGGAAAGAATTGCTCTTCATTTTGTTCTGCTAACTTTGTTCCTTTCCTGAGTGCTAGACCACCAGGGCTGCAACAGAAGTTACTGAGCTAGCCAGGTTTAAAGCTTTTCTCAGTTAGAGGGCTGATTCCAACTTCAGCAGTCAAACCTCTTATTCTGGTTATCGTAAAACTTCCATGTTTTCTAAGATCTTGCCTTTTCCTGGTGCTTTCATGCCAGTTTTCTGGTAATCTTCAAAGTACTCCAGAAGAGCATAACCTAGCAGCATTCAGCAATGCTAGTGCTATCCTGAGATCAATATGGTACAATATCTGGAACTGTTTGTAAATGCATATGTATTTATTTTTTGTTAGAAGTTACTGATTCTGACTGCATATTATCCAGTATTTTGCATAGATACTCTGCTTGCCAGGCATTAAAGAGGCAACTCACACTTTTTGTGAGAATTTATGTCTTACTACTTGGACTGTGGGCTCTCAGTGGCACAAATACAATTCACTTGATTCTACACTTTCAAGAAGCATCAACTGAAATGCTGAACAGCAAGAAAAGTGCCCTCATCCTGCCAGCCAGGTCTCCGGGAGTGCAGGGGCTTGCAGGAAGTGGTATTTGCCACTCAATCGCCACTTGACTTGACTGGAATTCCCCAGGCTGCTCCTGCAGACCCCAGCTTGAGCAATGCAGCTGTGGAGCCCTTGTAAAAGGGATGATTATCTTGGCTAAATATTGGCTATGTCCCTCAGCCTTCTTGATGACTGTTCAAACTGATTAGGTGGACTGAGTACCTGCTCTCAGAAAGGAAGGACAGTGAGCTCTAGCACAGATGGTCATCTAAGAGTATGTCTACACAACAGCCTGCAATGCAGCACAGTCATTCTCAGGCTGGCTCAGATACTGGCAAAAGTGTACCTCTGAGCAGCTTCATTCAACACAAAGACTGCAGTGCTTCTCAACACGTTTGCTTTCATGAGCAAACTTTTAGAAAGCTGTTTGAGGTAGATCTCCGTTGTAGTATGTTCTGAAGTGGAGACAAACCTGGAAGTGTAGCCTCATCGCCTGCCTGCAGTTGATGGAATGACAGAAGCAGCTCCAACAAGTTACACAACACTGTGTTGTCTTTAAAATATATATGGATTACACACCTTGTTCACTTCTGAAGGTGAAGCTTAGTTTCAAGGCAGCAAGCAGGTGATCATGCAGTCAGGCCCATCTTTTGCCTTGCACTACTGCCAAAAGGGACATCACTTCTCTTCATTGCCCAGTTGGTCCCAACCAGAGACTGTCCTTTCCTTCGTACTGGTACAAATAGATGTGCAATGCCAGGGTAAGAGGGACTAGGAGAATCATCCAGCTCAAAACTAAAGCTACTTTTAACACAGATTTCCTAGTCTGCGCGCAGTATTAGCAGCAACATTTGTGTGTGCATTGAAACCAAGACCTTTTCTTTCACTGGTAGTACCAGCTTAGACGGGCTTAACATCTACTGTATGTCAAACAAATAAAAAAATGGGGATAGCATCAATTTATCAGAAAACCGTTGTTATCTTGCTCCACTGCTCTAGATAAATTGCATCCCTTCCCCCTCCCTTCCCTTCAGTGTAGATGTTCTTGCACAAAATAGGTTATCAAGTTGCAGAGAAGCAGTTGCCCATCTGCATGAATCTCTGCTGCACTGAGGAACTCTGTGAACTGAGTATTTATCCTCTGGTGTGCTGTGGTAATGTTTGAACATGTGATGGGTAAAAGTACAGTCAGGGTCAAAGCTCATTTCAGACAAAATGAGATTCGTGATACTTAGCCGAGAAAAACTTTGCTGTTCTGTGAGAAGAGACATTAATGATCATGAATTTTGTGTATCCAGCATACAGCTTTATGAATTCAGAAGGATCCTAATTTTCTAGAGCCCTTTGCAGGCTGATTAGAAAACTGAAAGACGACCAATCTAGTAGATTTCCTGCAGGATTATCAAACTCCTAACGCGGGAGCGTTATGAACCGCAAGATTATTACAGTTTTGGTTTATAACCAGTAAATACAAAACTTACGTTCTCTTGCAATGCAGTGCAATCCCCGTTGGGCAAACCCAGCCTGAACCACGGTATCCAACAGTTTAAAATGGGGGGAAAGTCTTTCCTCAGTCAGGAGCTCCAGAAGGAGAGTTGGCAGAGACAGAATAAAGAGAATTTGAAATTTAGCTAAATTACAAGATTGCCATACGATTTGGGAAGCTGCATCATTTTTTGTTATTCCAGCACCTCCTGATAAGTGTAGATTAGCAAAATCCTACATGGCAGCAAAGAGTGCTCTCTGAACTGCATAGGCGACATAATTCAATGGTGACGTTTTCCAGAGTTGCGGCTGTAGGAAACAATACTCTAATTCATGAGAAAAGTCCCATGAATTGTTTTCATCAACAAAAAAGTGAAGAGGACCTCATACCATCTGATTTGTCAGGCAGAAAACCCAAAATAGTTGACAGTGTCCTCCTGTGTAGCACACTGATCTACGGTTCAGATTACAACTCTGGAAAGACACTAGGCAAAATCATCAGTTTCTGCAGTGTGTTATTAAAGGCTCATTTCAGACATTTTATGTTTCTTGTATTTATTTCTAGTTGCTCGTGGAGTAGTCCTTAAAGGCTGTTTTAAGTGGGATGTGCTGGAAGCAGGCACTGGAGCAGGGCGGGAGGCAGAGGAGAGGTTCCCAGCAGGGCTTTCGCAGCTGGCGCAGGGCTGCGCGTGAAACAGAACTAGCAGTGAAGGAGGCAGGTGTGAAGGGAAAACCGGGGCGAAAGCTCATCCATGAATCCTTTGGAAAAGGGTTCTTCAGGGATTGGTGTGAAGAAGAGTCGTTGCAACAGACAGATTGCAAAATGGTCAAAATCCCCAGTGTGGTACCACAAAACATTGCACCGACGGCTTGAGGAGGTGCACACAGCACCTGAAGTTATAACTTGCTGTTTATCAAACGTAGCATAAGCATAAGGCATGGCGATGTGAGGGTATAGGCATAGCTAAGTGTCTTTTTACTTTTAAAGGGGTATTGTTTGTGATTAATCAGTGTTTTCTGCCTTATAGGCCTGCCTCGTCCCCTCAGCTTTCACATGATGATACTCATTCACGCATTGAACATTATGCTAGCAGGTATGAGCCCAGCTGGACATTAGGCAGATCTTTCTCTAAACAATCATTTAAAAAAAAAAATCCCAAAGGCTAGCTGCTACCTGAGCGCTTCTTAAAGCATTTTGCTTTCCAGGCTCTGGGATGCAGAGCATCGCCCGTGGTTGCTGCTAACCAGCCTGTCAACTAACTTGCATGCCAGAGCACCTATGTGGTCAGAATGACCTTTAGGTCCTGTGGGGTCTTCATTAAGCTGTGCACTCAGGTTACCAACTTTTTAATAGGGCCTGTAGCGATAGGACAACGGGGAATGGTTTTAAACTAAAAGAGGGTAGATTTAGACTAGATACAAGGAAGAAATTTTTTACAATGAGGGTGAAATGCTGGAACAGGTTGCCCAGAGAGGCGGTAGATGCCCCATCCCTGGAAGTGTCCCAGGTCAGGTTGGACGGGGCTCTGAGCAACCTGATCTAGTTGAAGATGTCCCTGCCCACGGCAGAGGGGTTGGTCTAGATGATCTTTAAAGGTCCCTTCCAACCCAAACTGTTCTGTGATTCTATGATTCTACATAGGGTTTTGTTTTTAATATGGACCCTGGTGTAATAGTACAAATCAGAAGAGCAGAAACCTCCAAACTCTATGTGAATCTCAAGTGCCATTTTAATGTTAAGTAATTCACTTTGTGGAATACCACAAACAGGATTTTTCCTTGATTTGGAGGATTAAAATAGTGGTATATCGCTGCTTTAGTTCACTTGTCTGCTTTCATACTGCTCTTAAGAATCAAAAAGTGGGTTAATTGCACAAATATGAAAATGTTTTTCCACCAGGCAAGCAAATTTGCAAGGGTTGAGGTAATGAAAAATAGCTATTCCAAACTCCTCTTTCTCTCCCCGAAAATCACTTGATTGGCAGAGGTATTTCTGAATAATGCAGGACATTTAGGAGGGACTGAGTGTTGAAAACCAATGAGAAATGATGGATCATTACAGTTCTAATGATGACATTGCCAGGTACAAAGCAATTTATGTAATCCCCTGGCATCTTAAGGCCTTCTTTGATTGTGGAATTAATTAATCATGAGGAGTGGAATATAACCTCAGAGGAAAGGTTGAGAACTTAGAAGTGAGTTTAGCCAGGTCATTGTAACAAACAATCCTTTGTGATAGCTTATTGCAAAACTTTTTGGTAGTCAATAGTGAGTATAAATTGCTTTGAATTTCAAATTCATCAAAAACATCACGCTTTTTAATTCTTTCAGGAATGTTAGAGCAAATAAAGTTTCTGGAAAACATAATTGGCTTTAATGAGTCTTGTTTATTTTTCCACAGGCTAGCAGAAATGGAGAACACCAATGGTTCTTATCTAAATGATAGTATATCACCTAATGAGAGCATGTAAGTAGGCTGTTTTAATATTTTTGACATGTGTTTTCTTGTGAAGGTTAATAACTTGTAATGAAATCCTGTAGTGCTGAATTTGCATGGCCATGTACCACATCTGATTCAATTTAATGATGAACACATGTTCTTTCAATTTGTATCGTAGTGTCTAGGTTTATGGCTTATAGCTCAATACCAAATTTATGCAACAGATGATTGATACCTTCAAAATTAAAATTACTAATTTCTTCCAAAAAATTACGATCTATTCAGCAAATAGTTCCCATATTACTCAGAAAAAATGCTCATTATCTTATGTGTTTTAAGGACAAAGATAAAAAGATAACCTTTCTATCTGAACTGCAAGCTTCGTCATAGTTAAATTGCTATAAGCTAGAAAATGTTGTGGGCAAAGTGTCATTCAAAAGGTTAGTAGGGCTAAACAGAGATCTTTGGTCTACAAATACCTGAAATACATTGCAAGTGTAAGCCAGGAGGGACTTATCCTCACCGTGAAATATTAGAAGTAGTTAACTTTAAGTTGGACAGATCACTGACAAGCATTCATTATACTACTTTAAATGTAAAGTCATAAATAAAAGTTTTAATTTTTAAAAAGTAGTTCAACCTAATGTCACACCGAGACCTTTTTGTGGTTTTCTGACACGATAATATATTTCTCCTCTCTCATTATTTTCTTGATCTTATTTATTCTCTGGATGAAAGGACATAGAACTAGAAAAATAACTGTGAGTAATGTTTCTGAAAACAGGATAGAAGCACGTAAGTCATTGTCGTGCTTGAAAATTTGGTCTTAGTTAATTAACTGTGTAGGAGAAGTCACAGCACAGATTCTAAATCAATCAAATATGAAAAAAATCAAATCCCAACTTTCCTAAAAGTGTTTTTTTCTATTCTACATAATCTCATCCTTACCACAATTTAAGGGGTGGGTTTTTTTTAAAATTCAGACAGAATCTTCTTTTTATTAAATTTGTAGTGTTCCTTTAAAGCACAGTACTCTGGCCAGTTTTCATTCACTTAAATTGAGATTCCAAATCATTAGTATTTTCTAAGGTTAGTTGTGAGCCTGTGAAATGTTCTTGGATAGTAATAAAGCTGTTTCTTTGTTTCAAAATAGTTTCTCTTTTAACTTGGTAGGATTGTTACCAACCAACTTTGGAAGAAAATCCCCTGTACAACCAGTGCATTGTTTTAATATATTGGTTCAAAAAAGAGAAACTTAAAATGAAACCTCAAAACTAATACATACGCAATGTCAGTATAGTTTCACGCAGTTAATGAAAATTTTTTTTCCAAGTTGTATGTCAATTTTGTATTGTTATGGATGCTATTATATATGGAATTTCCTGTTGTCCCCACTGTAATATTTCAGTGTCCTTAGTCACAAAATCATATGTAAGCAGTATCTTTTGTACTACACTTTGGTCTTACTGTTCACTTCACTCTTTGGTTAATCAAAGGTTATATTAATATGATTCAGTTAATAAGTTAACCACTGATTCTCCAGTTTGTTACTCAGTTTGTACTATTAAAATGAGAATGAATCTGTACATTCTGAATTTTGGAAGAGAGATGATCCAGATACAAATTGCAGCAAAATCAAAGCTCACCATGAATTCGCAACTGTAATTCTTTCAGTTTTGTTTGTCAGGTTATGCTTAAGTGTTATTTGTTGACATTCTTACAGGTTTTGGATTATCGGGCTTATAATTGCAGTTAGAGCGATAGATGGAGACAGGGAACGAGGGAAATAAAGAGATAATGTTCATATATACCACAAACATTTTGATATGTAGTGTCATTGCAATTATGTATACAAAATACGTGCAGGCTGAAAATCACACAAAAAGAGTATGTATGTCTTGCAAAGTGACATTATACTGCAATAGTTATGTCACTAGTTCACTGTTAATTCACTTAAGATGCATAAGGATATTTGTAAATGCAAAGCAATTGTTTGAAGGAAATCACAGTTGAAGTGTTCAATGAAAAGAATAAATTTAGGAACTGGCAAGCCTTTAAAATTCTGTTTAGGAAAAGGAAAGGATGCCTGTTGTGAAAAATTAATATTTCCCTTTTATGAACTAATGTTAATGTGCTCTACATTGCTTTAGCACTCCTGAAATCTATAAAATGGCATCATTAACATTTTCAGGAACAAAATGGAAACAAGGAAAATTCTAATTTTTGAACAATAACAGCTATTCAAAATGCCTGTTAAGTTCTGCATTACAAACGTAACAGAAAAAAACTAGACTGAATTATTTTGTTTACAAGTACTACCAGAAAAAGAAGATTCACAACAGCAGTGTCATTTTTTTCTGTCCTTGACTTGTGGTGTCAAGAGAAACCTTCCATGGTTTCTCACAATTACTGCTGGTGTTAGCTGCATAGCTTAGCGCCTGGATGCATCTCATTAGCTCCTAAAACACCCATGTAATTCTGGGAGGTGGTCAAGGTCTTCAGAATTGGATTTGCTTTTCTTTTCCAGAGAAGTTTCTGTTTCAAATGCCAGACAGCTTCAGGGGCAATAAAAATAAAGAAAGAAGTCATATGTATTAAATAGAATATATTTGTATTCTGACAGTGTACATCGCTTGTAATTTAAAAAAAAAACAGTGAAAAATAGCGTAATTTCATTAGATTGTCAATATTTTTTTTATTTCACCTCATTTACAATTTTATAGAGAAAAATAGGTAAATAGAGGACACATTTATTACATAAGGAGAGTTTGTAGGTGTGAAAATAAATGCGTTGCCTTTTTTTGAATGACCCTTCCACAACACAGATCAGGCAGCAGCAGATGACCTTTTTTCTCAAGCAAATTCCTAACTGAAGTTAGGCAAAAGAGGAAAGCTGAGGTGGTCAGCTATGGCAAAACTTGGCTTTAAGTGGCAGAAGCAGAGAGGAAGAGAGGTGGACTCTGCAGAGAAGGAGAATTATCAGAGACTAAGTGAAACAGTTCAGCAGATTTTGCATTAAGGTACATTGCTCTGCTGTTCGTTAGAAAGAGTTCAGCAAATCTCTTTGTAAGAAATGAGAGACTGGGAGTGAATCATCTCCTCATGTTCACTGCAAAGTGAAAAATGAAGAAGGGAACAGCCTGTTTTACCCTTCTCTGTTTTCCAGCGATGATGAACACTTGTTAATCCAGCACTACTGCCAAAGTCTGAACCAGGAGTCCCCCCTGAGCCAGCCCCGAAGCCCTGCCCAGATCCTGATTTCTCTGGAGAGTGAAGAAAGAGGGGAGCTGGAGAGAATCCTCGCGGACCTGGAGGAGGAAAACAGGTGGGTTACGCCGCCAGCTGCCGCAGCCCTCGGGCGCACGCGGCAGGGGCAAACGAAAGGTTTCTCTCTGTAAGTGATGAGGCTGACAGCATATCGTCGCTAATTCGTTCCCACTTCCAGTGCGGTGATGAGTCAGCAGTGTTTCTTCCACAAAACCTCCAAAATGGCAAGCTTCAAAGACATACATGGGTCACCAAATACTCATAGTGCCACCTGTGAGAAGCTCTGCTTGCTGTGTTTCTTATTTCCTTCTGTTCTACCATTTCCTTTATTTCCATGATAGTAATGAGCTTCATGCCAGTGTTACTTTATTTTGCCGTTATGAGAGGGAAGGGTGTGCAGATTTCTGCACCCCTGTCTGGAAAAGACAGGCAGAGGTTCTTGGAAAGACAGGCTTTTCTCAAAAAGGTGGGCCACTGGGATACATGAGGTCTTGAAATCACCTCAATTCATTTGAAGTAAAGAATCTGTGAAATAATTGTGCTGTACAGTTAGATGGAATTCACTTTGATAGCATTTTTAGGGATAAGATGAGTTATGAAGTTGCATTTTCTTCAGACAAATGAGTTCTTTCATGGTGGTTAAAAATTGGGTCCTCTTTTCTTTCTGTTTGTTTGGTGTTATTTGTTGCCATTTCTTTAGCCTTTCAATATCAAATATCATTTACCACTTTTAATTTCAAGTTTAATTGAAGTTATCTTCATTAACCAAAAAAACCCCCACGACTGGATTCTTGCAGCATCACAACACTGCAGTCCTCTTTCTATGGTACTCTGGAGTCTTGGGCCATCAGCATAAAAACTGGTAGATTTTGACCCTGGCAGATTCATAATTGCAACCATGAACTACCAAAATTAGACTGTAAGATAGAAATCATTTAGATCTACAAAAACACCCATTTTTATTTGCCTTCTGCTATCTTCAGCTTTTATGGTAAAGTCTATTGGCATTTTCATGCTCTTTTTTCTTGCTTCTTTAAGAGCTAGGTATTTTTGTTTACATTGAGGGTTTAATGCAGTAATCATTTACCTTAGGCATGTCAAGAAAATAATGCAAGAGTTGACAGTGTCGTAGATCTTCTCTCCATGCATAACTCTTCTTTGGATGGTACTAATCAATTGTAGTGGTTCCATCACCCCACTGTCTCCATGAGACTGTGGTTGGGACTTCTTTACAAAGAGCAGAGCCTGGACTGGCAGAACAGCTTGGGTTGGTTTTGGCATGGAGAAGCCTGAAATAAGCTATTCTGTCTGGAATAGGAGGAAGATTTAGATCTGCCTTGTTCTTCCTTCTGGACGTGCATCAGCTACTCCTCCGCAGATTAAGTCCTTTTTTCTGTATAAGTAGTGTGCTTCAACCAGGAAGAGGAAAGAGCCTGTTCTCCATAAATACCAAATTTTATTTTTCTGTAGACTTACCTCTATACATCTCCAGGGGCAGGGGCAACTAATTTAATTAACAGTTTGTTTCACACAAGCTTTTTTCATCAAAGTTGTAATTTGCTGTAAGAGTTACCTTTCTAATCCACCGTTATTTTCTCATGCCCTCATGTTTCCAGTTGCGTTGTACCCTCTCTGTGTCCAGACTACACAATCTTCAGGCCAGGTTAAGACGAAGATAGAACTGCTAAAATCTAACTGCTTTCTATGAGGAATTAGTAGCAGAGAAAATACCTGGAGATTATGTTTCTGCCTGCATGAAAAATGCTGGCACAGTGTCGTGACAGACATATAAATAATAATAAACTGAGAGTGAGAAATAAAGAGGAAGGGTCAAGAGCACACTTTTTTTCAGGAGGATTTGGGAGAACATAGAGAATCAATAGGCATAAAGGATGAGGAAAGTGTTTCAGACAGAAAGCTGTGGTAAACAAAGCTCTTGCTTTCTGAACAGCAGTGAGGTTTTGTTGGAACAAACCCCAGACTTCCTACTACATAGTACATAAAGCCCAAGTACTTTCCAAAGTGGAGGAAAAGCAGTATTTTGAAATAAGCCATCAAACTTTGCATACAGGACTTCTGTAGTTAAGAAATACTGTGTAATTAGTACTGTAAAATAGCTTAGTTTTCAAGGGAGAGGTGTTACTTTTTTAAACAGCACTAGGAAGGAGAAAAAAAATCATGCTGCTTTTCTGTCTGTATACAACATAAGCTGCCCACCAGAAAGGAGGATGGCTTTTAAAGCAGCCTCGTTTTAGATTAAAAATGTGGTATGTGAACATTGGTATAACCTGGAGTTAGACAGCTAAATAGGCTAAAAAATTCCTTTTTGGGGGTTATGCCTTAATTTCAGTATAAGCTTTATTTAATATAACAACTACTAATGAGGAATAGCACGTTAAAAGATCTCTGACAGGAATTACACCTTAAAAATACCTGTTTTGAAGTTTGCCAGTCCTGGATTAAACAAGAGCTGTAGACTGTGAGCTGGTTATAGCCTGTCGTTTTCTCATTTGTGCTACTGGAGGCACAGTTACGGACGGGATGCCACCACAAGCAACCTCGTCTTTTGTGGATGCTTCAGGTCTCAGTGTAGCAGAGATGGAGAGGTCTATTTCTGTAGGATAGCGTGGAGGTCACACTGCTGTGATTTTCATTGATTATGACAAAATCATAACTTTTGTCTCTGCGAACAGCTATAAATAACTTGTACTGAAAATGTGAGGCAGATGCTGAAAAGCAAGCAAGTTCTTATTGTCCTGATAGCTTGTCACAGCCAGATAACTATGATTTTGTGGAGGAAACACTGATTCCTGTTTAGAAAAACAAGCCGTTCAGACAGGGTCAGCCAGGAGCCATTCGTATAACTTATCTACTTTTAAAAAACATTCTTGTCCCCTTAGATTTCTGTTTTCTAGTCTTTGTCCTCCTTTGAGTTTGTGCGAACCTTTTTTGGCTGTTGCCAAAGGTAATCAACAACCTGGGACCTAATTCCTTGTGTGAACCCGGTTCCAGTGGGTGAACACATATTCCTTCCCATGCTGATCCTAAAAATGCCCTCGGAACAAACGTTGTTTATTGCTGCAGCACGAAGACTCAGTGAATCTGTTGCTTGGAAATGAGCTGAACGTGATGCAAATCATGTTGTGACTGCCTGGTCTTCAGCCCAGCCTTAAAGCACCTGGATTGTTTTATTTCCATTGTAAATACCTCAGGTCTTGTGGCCAGAGCGTGTCTCCTTGCCGGTGCTGAGCTGGATGTGATGCTTAGGCCTGGGAAGGCAAGTGGCTGGGCAGCTAGCAGTGTGAGATAAACAGTCATCTTTTCCTGCCCATGTTGACCAACTTTTGTTGCATGCATTTCTGATGATTTCTGACAATGAAGATTTAGCGCTCTCTGCTGTATCTTGTATTATTTTATAATTAGAGTCAGCACATGCAGTCACTTCTCAGCAGCTCTTGGGAAAGCTGCACCAAGTACCAACAAGAAGTACTACTACGATACTCAAAACACTTCATTGTCATTTCTCTTTTTGTTCTGCTTTCCACAGTCTTCTGCTTTTTAAAAAAACCCTTCTCTTTTTTGCTTTGTGTTTTGATTTTTCTTCATCTCTTTTGAGCTGTTTGTTGAATTGTGACTTCCATTTGGTTTTCAGCTGCAGTTTCTGGCCTCCAAATATTTCCATTTTGACTTGTTACTTAAACAAAAAAGACTTTTTGAAATTTTAATTCTGAGGTTTTGCTTTTGGACAGTCTAAAAAGATCTGTTGCCTGTTTTGAATTCTTCTGAAATGTATTATCCGACTATTATAAACTAACCTAGCTGTGACAAGTTCTGACTGGTTTTTTTTCAGTTCCAAGGGCCTCTTGTTAGATATTCATTATTTGTCTGCTAGCATTTTGAGACTTTGGTGCTTTTGTGGCTTGTAAATATGACTTCCTTAAATAATTTATGGCTAAAATTTGACTGTTAAATAATTTACATTTGCTAAAATGTGAGCATTTGAGAGAATAGTTTCAATTGGTGAAAATGTTTCATTTGAGTATTAGGCCATCAGACTCATGCTGAGTTTTACATCCCATGGAATATTGTGGTAAGACCATTTCTTATGCATGCAATAGACATAAAGTAATTTTGCTATGGAAGGCACAATATTACTATCTTGCAATATAAGAGAAAAACCCAATTATTAAACTGTCCCAAAAACATTTTGAAATTTCCTTAAGAGTGACTATATCTCAGAAACAGAGAAGACAGATTTTTGGTGTCCATCTAAAGCGGTACATCCCACAGGTTATACTGTAGGATAGGTTATACTGACTAGGATGTACTGTACTAGCATTAAATGGAAAGCATATGGTTTTGCAGCGACAGAGACTCAGAACTTTTTGCAAAGAATTTAAGTACTTTCTTGCTATTTTAATGACTAAAGAAAGTGAATGTTTCCTAATATTTTGGTTGAATCAAGATCACTGACATACTTCTGTAAAAGGGAGACTTCTCTTGCGTTCTCTTGTTTTCCTCCCAGCTCGTAGCTGTACTATAACAAGAACTTAGTAAATGAGATCTCCAGCCAGAGCTATTTGCCTTTCCTTTGCTTTCCTGACTTGCACCAGGAGCGCAGTGGGCTGTGTGCCGCTGGAGAAGCACTAACACCCTGGATCTCAAAGCTGCCCTGTTTCCATGCAGCTATAGTGTTCCTTCGAATCTGAAGACTGATGAATGGCCTCCTCAAATAAGTTCCTTCTGTATAGTTGCCAATAGCGAGAAAGCGATGCATTTCTAAACATGCTGCGGCTCCTTTTGGTATTTGTTTTGGCATTGAAGAAGTGGAACTAGATCTTCTGAGTGTGAAGCATTGTAAGTAAATGCTGGCACTCTAGTGAGAGACAGGGTTAGGTGGTTCAGTTACCAGCTTTGTCCGTTTCGTCAAACCACTGATTTTCTGCAGGGAGATGAAAAATAACACGAATTCACAAATTCTCAATTGCCTCTGAGCGGACTACTCAGCAAATGGGGCCCACTAGGATTTCCGTCACCAGGCAATTAATGCTGCCACTGATAGATGTGATTAATAACTCGTAAGCTCTTTACTATCCAGCTCTTTACAGTTGCATAAAACAAGGTTACATTGTATGCTTCCTCTGTTATTTTTCTTCATGAATGCTTCAAAGAGGTGCAAGCATAATAAATGGAATATATGGGGTTTTCTTTGAATATTTCTCTTACTGAAGTAGAATATATTTTCCCAGTGATAGAAGATGCAGCAGCTTTGTTTGTTTGTGACAGCCAGATGTAAAAGTCACCCAGCCTGAGCTATGGTGGAGCGAGGCTGGGTTTCCCAGTACTACCCATGCTTGCTCAGTTGCATTCATTTAGAGAGGATTAGGCTTTTATCCCCTTTCTCTTCCCATTTTATGCTGAAAATGTCAGAGAGCACCTTTCCTTGGGACACAGAGGCTTTACTCTGAGGGCTGTGGGCAGTGCCTTGGATGCCTGGCTTGCAGCAGCAATCCTTTTTCACTGCACAGCTTAAAACTATTCCAGAGGCAGGAATAAGAGCAGATTGTTCTCTCCTAGGATATTCTTACAGCAGCTTTCAAATTCTTTCTTTTTTAATTTTCAGCTTTTTCCCCCTATGTTAATACAAATCTTCATTCCTGTATGTTAGATCCCAGTTATTATGATATTATTGATCGTCTGCACTCCGCATGACTCTTATGGCTCTGAAAAGGGTTGCTATGATGAGTCTTAATTCCCTGGACTAAGGACTCTGTAGCTGGACTGAAAAGGTACAGCTAGAAAACTCAGTGACACCGGTGCTCTGGGCAAACTCACGTGCATCCTTCAACATGACATTCCTTTGTTCCAACAATATTACTGTATTTAATTACAGAACTCACAAATTCAGACGTATCTCTGTTTGGATAATATGCAATATTCTTTATATTTTTTTTTTCTATAGGTTTTCAGAAAGAGTTTTTAACTATATTGTATCAGACATGAAGGCATTTTTATCTGAACTACTCCCTGGTCCTCACTTTTTTTTAAATACCATAGTTACTGGAAGGACTTCTCTATATTGATAGTTGTGGCGATAATTGTATATTTCTTTGTAGCAAGGTACCTGATCATGTTGTAAGTATGACCAAGTGCATTTATTTAGTTTCCCTTAGGGTGATATTTTATCTTTTGCTTTACAGCACTTCAAACTTTTGAGTCTGCTGTTTGTAGACTATTGCCTGTATCATACATCTGGGAAATTCCTCATGGGGTAGCGATAGCCACTATCTACAGACTTTGTGAAAAACAAGCTTAATGATCAATCCTGTATAAACTTTAGTCTGCAATAAGACCGAGTGTGATACTGTCGTCATGCTCATTCCTATTCCCTTTTATATTTTTATTAATTATTCACCAGTTCCTTCAGCTAGAAGTATCAGAAGACATTAAGTCATGTGGAAGGCAACACCCAGTATAGCCCTTCTTTCTTTTTTCCAGATAATTTTTATGGACTTGAAACTCTGTATTTCATTAAAACAAAAAACTTTCTTTGAAAAAAACCTCTCCATAGTCTCCGCTCTTTGTGTGGGTTTTAGAGAAAGAAGTCTTGAATTTTGGGACAACCTGAAGTTAAGGATGATCAGCCACTTTTTTTAACCTTTTAAAACTTCTGCAGAGAAGGGATCATGTAGGTGAGACATCCCTTAGGGACCATGTTCTGGGGAGGTGCTACCGCCCCAGGTCAGGACGCGTCCATCATGCAGCTGCTGCAAGGGGCACAAGTACGTTTGAAGAACAGTCGGTAGCCCGTCTTGTGCTTGGCATTGCTTTCTTATCCATGTGAAATGATGCATCCTGTTCTAGTTCTTGTTCTGGTCACAATATCATACCTTTAGAAGTGTTTCAGAGCTTAATAAAGTTTATTGGGAGGTTTCTGAGGTGCTATTAAGCCTCCAGACCAAACTGTCAGTGTGTATTGTGGGTTGCAGGCAGAACTGGCAAAAAGTGCCTGTTCTCACAACCTCAAATAAGAGCGAGTTGGAAAAAATAAAATCTGGGTCACTGCTTCTGATGAGTAAGCAGTTACCAGAGCATCGAGCCATTTTTCCCCCCTCTGGGAAGCTGTAAAGGAACATCATAGCAACAAAATCCCAGTGCAGTTCATTAGGCCTCCCTTGCCTACACAGTTTCTGTTACAAGTTACTATTTTTGCGGTTTTGGGCTGTGTTATCCCTAACAAGGTTTCAGTTTCTTACCTTCTGTGCTCTTCCTGCTTGGTATATTTTTTTTCATGTGGACCACTATAGATCATATTAATCTATGGAGTGTTTTACTGGAGCAAAACTGGAGTTTTACAGAATAAAAGAACAAGCTTAGCAGTGTCATGAAGTTACAGTAGGCTGCAACACTCTAGACAGAGCAGTCCAAATGAAGATGGAAATTATAGCCCCAAAAGTTAGTGCACTGTAGTTTAACAGATTAGCTCACTAATTTGTCTTTTCCTCATCTTAGGTTAGTAATTTTAGAGCTAGGCTGGAAATGCAGCTGTGAATATGAAGAGAGGAGAATGATGTGACCTGACTGACGACAGCAGAGTTGCAAATGAACTCTGGAGTTCTGTGTTTTGCTCTGACTTTTTGGGCCGCCTTTCTGTCTTAGCTTTCTCATCTATAAAACAGATAGTCCAGCCAGGTGGTGTCCGCTTTGATTAGTGTTTGTAAAGTGCTTTGATCACTCAAAGTCCTCTTTTAACACTAATTACTCCTCGGGTGTATTCATGCGTGGAAGCGAACAGGCAGTCCGACTTCTGCTAGAAAGGATAAAACGCAGGAAGCCGAGGGAGGACTGAGCCCAGGACAGACCGTACCCGGGCTTCGGGAGGGTGCCTGGAGCCCAGCCAGCCTTCTGCGTCGTCTGCCCTGGAAGGGAATTAATTGTGAATTCTGGTGACTAAGAGAGCCTTTAGGCACTGCTTATATCGCAGGTCCCTATAATATCAGCTCCATGCATGTCTGCAAGGTGTAAGCCTACATGCACGTGGATTCAGGGGAATGAGAGGCGGGGGGGGGGGGGGAGCCTCTGCCCCCTGGTAGTTAGACACATCACATCACGCGAGAGGAGGTGCCTTCTCACTGCCCCGCACAGAGGGTAGCCTGCACGGCCTTTTCAGCTTTATAAGGCTTTACCTCCTTGTTACTTCTCAACAGAAACTTGCAAGCAGAGTACGACCGTTTGAAGCAACAGCATGACCACAAAGGACTGTCTCCGCTGCCGTCCCCACCGGAGATGATGCCGGTTTCTCCGCAAAGCCCCCGGGATGCTGAGCTCATTGCAGAAGCCAAGCTGCTGCGCCAGCACAAGGGCCGCTTGGAGGCCAGGATGCAGATACTGGAGGATCACAACAAACAGCTGGAGTCACAGCTGCACAGGCTGAGGCAGCTGCTGGAGCAGGTGAGTCCTCAGACCTTTCTTCTAGATCTCTCTAGAGTCATCTTCCAAACAGAGTGTGAAGCGTTATCAGTAACGACAACAGACCAAGAAATCATATCTGTAGAGGCTAGTCAGAGAAAAACAGTAAATTGTTCTACAGGCTGCAAGTAAGAAGGTGAAATCATGTTTTGGTGTTCTTATTTAGTCCTCTTCCTTGTTTCATTCAGAATTCAAATCCATTGTTTGCATGGATATATTTACTTAAAAACAGACAGAAAATTGTGTGTATTCATGGAATAAATAACAAATACAGAGATATAGAGAGTTGTGCACTGTACTGAGCTGTTAATAATAATCTCTTCTTTTTTTCTTCAATTTTCAGCCACAGGCAGATGCCAAGGTGAATGGTACAACACTATCATCTCCTTCTACCTCTTTGCAGAGGTCAGACAGCAGTCAGCCAATGCTTCTTCGTGTAGTTGGCAGCCAGACTTCAGAAACCATGGGTAAGATAACAAAGTTCAGATTGTCATAAAAAATAATTATAGTCCCATTTTCCAGCAAAAAAGTCCTTAAAGACAGAAAATACTCTGCTCTCCTGTTTAGTTCAAATGAGAATGAAGCAGACATTTGCAATGGTCTTCGATGTCATCTGGCTGTTTACATCTTCATTATGGTTCAGGCTTTTGCTTTTGATCATGATGCAAATGGATATTTTGACATTAAACACAAAGCTTAGACAGGGCTTGACTTCTGAAAACAAATATCACTAAAAAGCTAACTATTTTATTCAAACTGACTTTCAGCTACTAAGCATGACATAGCTGATTTAAATGTACATACTATTAATTATGGCTAACAGATTAAATGTATGATTAATCATCCCCATGTTAACTGATGTGATCTTATTTTTAATATGTCATGGCTCAATCAGTAGGATTGAGCTGTCACTCATAGGCAGTGCTTATCTAGTGTCTTTTCTAAAGATCACATCAGATGTGATAATGAACATCATATGAGTTGTGGAGTAAGGTTAAGTAATAGTATTCTGTAGCTAGAGGCTGGAATTATTATTTTGGTGCTTTTAGTAACTGCTCTGTAGCATTTTCCTGATTTCCTATCTGTTATATAATTAATAAGTATTTATTACCAAGTAGTAAGGATTTTCTGCTAGTAAAAAAGCAATCAGCCATCGCAGCATCTTTAAGCGAATGTATTTAAATTATTTCAACAAGATAATATTTGAAGTCTGGTGATAATATTCAGCTTCATACACAGAAATATATTTAGTGAATATTAGAGGCTTTGGGGGAGAGTGAGAGGCTTAAGTGAGAGCTTTTCTTTTCACTGCAGTTAGTGAAAGAGTCAGTTACAGTGAGAAATGGAACGGGGGAGGACGTTCTGCTGTGTCTGAAGTGCCATCGTGGTGGGAGATACAGCTTTTTCAGGGGCTTTTTCTTCCATCCTGAGCGTAGGCAGTAACGTCAGCCTGTGCCGTTATCAAACAAGATGGGTTCTGTACGCCCTACAACAAAAAAACGTGAAATAAATTGTGCCTTTAGGAATGCTTAAGTTAAATCCTGGGGGTGAGAGTACAGTCACAGGTAACAGCAATTTCATTTGGATCTTTCTTTAATTGTATTACTAGTGAGTAAATATTTTGCAACAGAGTGGACAAAATGTATCAGTGAGGTAGTTTGCATGGCTTTCGGAAGAAATGTCATGAATTTCATCACATAAAATATGTTAATTAAAATACACAAGAAAAGATAGGAAGACAGTGGTTCCCAGCCATTTTATTAAAAGTCTTGTAGTTTCGTATTTTATTGTTTAGTAGGACAAAATACAATAATGTACTTCTTTTCATTTAATAGAGAATTATTCCCATTTAACTTGTGAGACTGAAATTAATTAATTAACACGCATATAATCATATAAACTGCTAAAACTTATTTAAAGCAAATATTTAGACATGTATTGGGGTTTTTTGTTTGTTCGATTGAGCCACTATGTGGAAGGACAGTGAGATGTTGAATCATTATCAGTATGATCGCGTTGAGGCTCAGCAAAGCAACACTGTTGGCAGCATGGAGCAGAGCTTATAAAAAGAATTACTAACCGAGCTAACAAACCGCAACTAATTCAGTGTGTCGAGTCCCCTTTCACACCCGAAAGCTTTGCTTGCTAGTCTGAGAGGTTTCTGAAGCGCAACTTAAAATATTCTTGAATTGTGAAGGGAACCAGAGAGGTGTTGTAAATAATGCTCCCATGCAGCAGGCATGCGCCCAGTAATGAGGGAGTCATCATTTTCAAGAAAATACTGAGGATCTCTAGGTCTCTCAGGCAATGAGCTAACATAGTGGTAGCTTTTATATATTTTTCTTTTTGAAAGGAGACCTTAGGGTTTTTTTAATTTGAATGTAGACCCACTGCACTTCTCTGTCTCTCTGCTTTCTCAAGAAGAGATTGCTGTAAAAGGTTTTCCACCAGCAGTGTTGTCCAGCTGTTTGGTAAAAGCAGCAACCCAGTCAGATCCTAATTTACAAATAGAAGAGCTTATCCCCTTGATAACCTGAAATACACCCGGGCAAGTGGAAAGGTTCTGCCTTTCTTCTCATAGAGTCCTAATGGGAAAGTCCTGATCTTTGGCCTTTCTCCCCTGGTAATGTAGCAGCAGAGGAGGTTCTCTGAGGCATGTGAGCCAAGAGGTTGTTGCTGAACTTTAATTCGTTCAGGTACCACCAGAGTATTTGAGACCCACCCTGCTCTAAGCCTTTTATAGAAACTTGAATGGGAAGACTGTTTTGGGTAAAGAGAGGTAACTGAGGTCTGAAGGTGTCTTTACTTTTGTCGGATTGCTTGGCTGATGTCTTACTTTGTCACTTACAAGGAAATGCTCAAAAAAATCATCCAAATGAGAAAAAATAAAAATAATGCATTTTAAATACAAGATACAGCAGTCATGAGGGTCAACACAGTTCAGTTTGTAGCAGGGCTTACCAGGACATTTGGAAATCAGTACCTGTCCTCAGTTGTTCTTGCCCAGGACTGCAGAACCACTGCCCTCTTCTTTCGATCTTTAGGGCCAGGTGGTTTTCTGCAGGCATGCTGATAAGGTCCTTGGCATGGGTAGAAGCAGCAAGATCTCGCTCTGAGTTTTCACCTTGATATGCAGCAGAGGCTGGAAGGACGTTACTTCTGCTAAGGCACCTCTGTCGGTGCAACGCTTGATGTGGAAGTAACGCATGGTGTGAGTTGATTTGTGTGAACCCAGCACCAAGTCGAAACCTGAACAAACTGCAAGCAGTCTCAGCAGCTATTTTGAGACCATTAATGGAATAGAAGAAGCTGATACAAAGACCATCACTTATATGAATTAAGTGCTTCTTGCAGACACTTTGCCCCACTTCTTGTACTGGAGGGGGCAAAGTTACTCTTGGTCAGTAATAACTCCTGTGAAACTCCTGGCCCTAAGGTGAGGCCAACACTAAGCCTAATAATAGGAAATATATGCAGTCCTGAAGTGTTCCTTTAGCATCTCTTTTAGCAGGCTTTCCACTAGCATGGAGCACCTCAATGTTTAAAGAATGTAAATGCTAACAGAAAATCAGGCAGTTTATTACTCGGGTAGGGCAAGACATGTTAGAATAAAGGGTCATTAAGTCATTTTCAAAATAAGGATGTACCCCTCATGGCTATTACAGCAGGCAAAATTGCTTTTGTGTTTTAATTGGGATAAAAGAAATCTAGTAAAAAAGGAGAATCTCACTTAAAGTTTATCCTTTAGGTGTATTCTTTTTTCAGATGCTTTATTTGTATTGGAAGCTAGGGTCTACAGTAAAATCAACATATGGATTTTAGTTACATGAAACCATGACCAGAAAAACCCCGGTAAAAATAAAATTTATTGAATTCCCCATTAAACTGCTGCCCTATAATCAGGTTATAGAAATTATTCAGTGGGAGAAATGTATTTCGCTTTATTAAACTGCTGCTAAACCCTTTTACAGTACAATTGAATGTTCATGGAACGCCAATCTGATGCAATTAAACTGTCAGAAATATTAATACTGATGCAGATGAGAATCTGGGTTTCTACTGATTTACGCAGCTAGGCAAAGCAGTGCTAACATGAATCCAGCACTATTAGAAACCTGCTCAATAGCAGCACTCACAACAGCAATTTCTTTTTCCATTAATAGAATAAGAGAAGCTGAAACAACATCACCTAGAGTGGCATTTATGGAACTAAATGTTCCTAGCAGACATTTTACCCCACTTCTTTTACCAGAGTAGATTATTTCTTAAATCCCTTTTTACAAATTAAAGTCAGTGTTAATTATTTAAAAGTCATTGTTTAATTTCACTTAGATCCTTAAAAAGAAAGAGAAACGTAATAGTCAACAAAATTTGCCTTTAAAATTTTGATTGTATACTAAGCAGAAAATGTGTTTAAGTGAACAGCCTTAGCTTCTTGAAGGACATAAGCAATAGCAAGCTGTTAGCAAATGGTTTTATAGTGGCTCTCATGCGGTGGTGTGTATTTGCTTTCCAGGCGAGGATGAGCTGCTCAGCCCTCCCCAGGACACAAGCACAGGTTTGGAAGAAGTGATGGAGCAGCTGAACAACTCCTTCCCCAGCTCCAGAGGTGAGCACTGCTGCCCGCGGCAGATGAGAGGGAAGAAGATAAAAGTGCTTTCTGTACCTTGATGTTTTCAGGGGGTTGTGTTTTGGTTTCAGGTTTTTTGCTGCTCTTTGTTTTTGTTTTAACAATAGCTGTAGAGAAACCTGTCTTATTTAGAGTGGAGAAGCAGCCTGCTCCTCCTTTACCTTAAGCTACCTCCACAGGTAGCCCTTGCTAGATACGTGGATGAAACAATGTCTCAGACTCTTTTTTCCTGAACATTTTCTTCCCTTTTGCCATGTTCCTTTTCTCACAGCTTTTCTCTTTTTCAGTCAGTCCCCTTGCTGATTTATTTTTAATACATGTCTTAGCACATTTTTCTTCTGTCCTTACCTTTCTCCAAGAAGAATCTGGTTCAAAATAATATTAAAGTTCTGAGTCAAAGTTCTTGACCTTGTAGCACTTGGGTCCAGAGTGATGGAGGAAAAACAAGTGGGCTGCTTGTTTGTGCAGTGTAGGCTGCACTTGTACGTACAGCCACAGCATTTCTTTCAGTGTTTCCATTTTGCTCATTCCTGTTGTTTGCTAAAGATAAGCATTTGTATTACTGGGATTTATTTGTTCAACCTTTTTTCATTTAAGAAGGTCTTTTCTGAGCCCAGAGAAAATACTCTACTGCCAAGAAAAATGGCTTAGATTCCTAGCAGGAGATGGGAAGTTTGGAATATTACCTGTTGCTGTGAAAGAAGGCTCAGACATAAACCTCTTGGCAAAAGAAAGTCCTGGTGTCTATTGACCGCCTGTTAAATGGATTTCAGTAGGGGCGTAGACTTACCGCAGGGCCCCTTGCACGTGTTTCACACATCACCCAGAGGTTCTTATTTAATAGATGAATGCATTAACCATCATGCTAGACTTTCAGTGACATCAAGTTTTCTCCATCCTTTGATTTCAAAGCGAGTTCAGCTCTCACCAGGCATCATCTGTGAGCAGTGGAAAAGGAGAAGGCAGTATAAACTGCCTAAGATCTCATGCTATGGATCAAAAAATGGAATCGTTTAGAAAGATATTACTGAAGAAAATCTAATACAATATATTGTTAACTACATTCATCTCCACCTCAATATTTTACGAAAAAGCCACATGTCCAGCCCTCGTTTTGCCTAGATACTAATTATCAGAGACAACAGATGAAAAATCTTTCAAATAGTGGTGTGTAGATAAAAATGGACTTATTTTTAAAGTTGCTGGGTACACAAGGCTGTAACAGACAGTGCTTTCTTATCAGTGACCATCATTTGTGTAAATATGTTGTATTTAGGAGATCTTGTATAATCGTATCTGTCTAGATTTAGACACCCCATGTGTTAAAATATTCACCAAATGTGGTATCTAATTTGTAATCATAGCTGATGACACTGACAAACAGTTTCTTTTTAAAAACAAGCTTAGTTTTAAGTAAAACAGGAGCAATTTACGAAACAACAGTTAATGAGATATTTGAAATACAGTGGTTCATTTCCTGTGTATAAATAGGTAGAGATCAGTCTGTTAGATATTGCTCCCTACTGACTGAGAATAGAAAAGGGGTTTAATTTTGTTTTAAAGCTTCATGAATCAAACTGACAGAATATAAAGTTTAGTGGGGAAAAAAAAAGATTTGAAATTGGTAACATCAGTTAATATTTTAATTCCGTAAGTTAAGCTATAACTTCACATTTTCATTCTGGTGATGCAAAATGTGGTCATTTAAATACGGAGAGAGAATGTATTCCCTTATTTTGTTTCTCCATTCAGTAACTATGTTAAAAGTGTCGTATGTGAGCACAAGCATCCCTGAAAGGGATTGCAGCTTCCGTACTTTCCTGCCTGACTAGCAGCCGTAGAGGACAAAAATAGTCTCTAGCTGTGTGGAGGGCTGCGAGCGAGGAGGAGGCACAGTCTTTGCTTGACATGTGTCGTCTTCTGTCCTCCTCAGCCAAGCCGTGAGAGGAGCTTCTGGTGCAGCAGCCAGGAGCAGGCACGGGCAGGCCGTCAGGCAGAGTCAGGCTTCCCACAGAACTTTTCTTCCGGGCCTGACCAAGGCACTGTCGGGCTGAGCCAGAATCTGCCTCTTCCTCTCCCTTCGACTACGCAAAAAGATTGGTCCGGCTGGGAGAAAAAGTCGTTCACTTTTTGGAGAATTGTACTAGGTTTTGGCTAAAGAGATTAGGACCTCGATTAGATTTCTCTGTTCTTCACATATCTTTTGATGCATTTGCACGAATGCCAGGTTTGTATAATGGCTTTTGGTTGAGGAATAGGAACGGTCAGGCTCTCTGTGAGAAATGGTTCGTCCTACAACCAGTGCAAATGGATTTCCATTCACTGGTTGACGTAGAAGGCTACTGACATCGTCAATTTTGCTAAGATCTCATGCAAACTTCAGTTACTGGAGTTTTCTTCTACTCCTATTTCAACGATTAAATAATATTCAGCTGACACCTGCATAAACAAAGCCTACATCCACAGCTAATTTGCTGCAGCCTCATGTAGACCTTAATTGTGAGATGAAGGATACTGTGGTCAGTCAGATTCCACGGGCATCAGGGATATGACTTACTATTTACAAGACTGCAGGAAGGAGAAAAGGAAGCAGAGTTGACTGGTCTCAGCAAACCACTGAATCAGGGGTCTTTTTGCTGTTGAGAGGTGCAAATCTGTATCTCAGGTTTCCAATCTTTAATAAAAGATCAAAGTGTAATTGCAAAAGAGTGAAAGCAGTTAGGCAAAGCAGCCTGAGAAGAGGGCATAGTGTAAGGATTCAGATGTGGTACAAGTAGTATTTTATTTCTTTGCATTACAGGTTGCATTGAATCTCATTTGTAGGTATTCGGGAAACAGAACAATAAGCCCAAACAAGCAATGAGCACAGATCTCTAAAGAATACATTTTCTTATATTAATTCCTATTAAGTAGAACTAAAAAATTGTCAGATGCAAGAAACTCAGTCATCCCAGTCTGGCATTCACAAGTGTGTTGTGATACAGGAGCTTATGAAATATTATTTGAAAGGTGAATTCAAACAACTTGGGTAAAGTGGCACCACGTGTGATCCATACTATCTTTTAGGAATTAAAACTAGAAGGAAGATGGATTAAATACCCAAGATTGACTAGTACTAGAAGTAGCTTTGTTTATTTCTATACTAATACTGTAGAAGGAGAAGTCTGCTATGATATTCATAGACCATGCAATTCCAGAATTGCTGCAGAGGACACAGGGCACTCATCAAACCCTACCCAGATTGAAAGTGAGAGTAACAAAAGGAAATCCAGAAAGGAACAAGCATCCATACAAATAACGTAAAATTTATACATGGAATCAATTGAGGAAATCTGGGGATGTATTAAAAGGCCTTGGAAGTTACTGGCAAGACATTAAATGTGGGTTTCCTTTGTGGCCTGTAAAAATAAGCATGTTAAATTTCAAGCTAAATGTCCAGCTCCAGCATGTCACAGCATAGGGAGCGATACGCCTTTTCAATCAGGGACGTAGTTCTGAGTATCCTATTGCCATTAGGATAACGACAACTTGGAGGAGTGCAGAATAATATGACGAGCGAACCAGACTCTGAAGGCTTTGGTTCGTGAGGAAAGTTCAGAGCTGAATAAGCAGTGAAGAGAGAAGAGGACTGAATTTGTGTGCTTGGGTGCACACATGTATGGTTCAACATCACAGGATACAAATTAAAAACAAAATATCTAGTCTAAATATCATCGAAAGCATCTAAAGAGTAAGACTTGCTCAGGTTGGGCAGTAGTTTTCTAAAGCAAGTAGTAGCTCTCATTTTGGACTTCTGAAACAAAGCAGTAAAATGTAGTAGTAATTAATTGTCACTCACCTGGAGATAGATTCATTTTGATTATGATATTTTGCAAGCTTTTGCTGCATAGAGTTGTTTTTAAAAGGGCATCGAGGCTTTATAGCATCATTTTGAATGTAGTATTTTAGAGAAGCGTGTGTTAAACAAATCGTGTTACAGATGTCCATAAGCAGATCTCAGATGCAATAACTTGTGTTACTATATACCTTTTATACGCTTTTTTTTGTTCCTTCAGTTTAACCTTTTGGCAGTTCTTGGTGTTTCCTAAGGAGCAGGGGACCTCCACGCTCCTTGCACAGCTGACTGTTGGTGCTGAAAGCTGTTTCATTTCTGGTGAGGGAAATTCTGCTGAATACCTGACGGTTGCTGTCCTTAAGGAAATTTTCTTTCCTTTCAATCGACAAGGTTTCCCATCCATTCCTCTTTTACTTTGCTGCTCCCAGCAAATTCACAACTGCTGCAGCTGCTTCGAACAGCTGCTGTGCTAACTCAAAACAGATGTCAAAGCCAGAGGTCTGATATTTAGTGGAAATCTACCATTAAATACCACCTCAGTGGTTTATTTGACCCTGCTTGATAATGGGCCACAGAGGAGAACATTTTCACTCTGTTTTTGTGCCGAAGCTACTAAATCTCCAGGGAATTGGTTCACAGTTAGAAAGTAAGATTGGCAGGCCAGTATTTTTAAAGCCAAATTCACCTCTCCTGCAGCACTGAGGACAAACAAGTTGCACCGCTTCAGGTGGATCTCATGGTGGACCAGGATGTGTTTTGCGGTTATGGTTTTGTGGCAAATGCTTTCTATGAATGAAGCTCAGAGAGGAATTTAGGGGCAGAAGTTCTTGAGCCAACTGAAGTTGGTGAGAGAGCTTCCCAGGCTTTCCATGCAGAGCCCTTGCTGGTGGATAATGAGGAAGCGGAAGCCAAGAAGTGCTTAGAAATGAGACCATGATGGCGTAAAAGAGCTAAGAGGCCATGACCTCACATGAAAACATTTGGAGAGGGATTGGTACTCACCGTTATTATTTAATATAGTATTGCTTAATACAGCTGATGTCTTGTGCAGTGAAATTACAAGACCCCACAGCAATAAATAAATGGCACTGAGAATAGCACCATCTTTTACAAGTTTTGTTTTATTTTTATCTCAGTCACATAAACACACACTAGACACATTCTCACTCTTGCATCAGGCAGGCTCTGTCATGAATGACACTAATGTCCTAAGTGGAACTAGCAACTTTCAGCACTGCAAATAATGCAGTTTCTCTTATTCTGTCAGCAAAACGTCTTACGACGCAGACTTTTCTTTTCACACTTTACTGAATCAGTGGAAGAGTACCCTGGAGTTATTAACCTGTAGGGTATTCTGGAAATACTCTTCCAACAGAGCTACCCTGGCCTCTTCTGGACTGTATCCCCTTCTCTGTGCTACAGTCCCACATACCACATCAGTGAGCCCAGATGACTGAGATCCTTTATCACTCCCCTGTGGCACAACAGTACTGAAGTAGCTGAGCTTCTCTGCAGATTTCTGCTGGGATAGTGATGGGGAGGACTAGATCTTTCAGGATTTATAATGCTCAGTCCTGATGTAAACTGAGAATACGTTAATGTATTTAACAAAACTTCAAGGAACTTTTTTTTAAGAAAAAAAGCCATTTGCAGATCCAGATCTCTCCCCTCTGCAGCCCATCCCTCTCCTGAGTTCAGTGGGAGGGGCGGTGCAGTAGATGCTTTGTGCTCTCTGCTTTGATCTGAATCTGCATAGATGCATGAAGTTTTTATTAGTGCCTCTGCTTTCAGGTTTGATTTGATCGCTTTCTGTGTACCTTTGCCTGTGATACAATGTCATATAGATTTCCAAAAAAGAAAAAGAAAGGAAGACTCTTCTATTTTGAAGTGCAGGAAATCTTGATTTGAGCAGGGATAATAGATAATTAGGCACCCATGGACTGCGTATCAGTATTTTGATGCCTTATAGAATACGAATTTTCAGAACTGCAGCAATACAGACAATCTTCTTCCTCTGCAATTTGTGCCAAGCCATACGCCTTGCCTTAAAACTTAGAGACATGTGTTCATTCATATGCAAAGAAGAAAATAAAGAAAAATCCATTAAACCTTTTTTAATCTTCCTCCAAAAGAAATTAGCTGTTACTGTAGTAGTGCTACTCTTTGTTGCATTTAACAAATTCTAGGGCTGATTACTCACCACAGACTTTCCTCACCAGCTGTTTTGTGTGGTGCAGAGCTATCCCAGTTACCTTTAAATACATTCATTTTCAAGCAGAATCCAGTCTGTCGCATGTAGATATTTAAATTAGACACTGTGTAGCTGCAATTTTAGGTGCTTGTGCAGACGGGTAGGCATTTCTTAAGACCTCCAGAAGGATCCAGTATTTTGCATGTAGGCAGTTCCTTCTCTCCTCTTAACCCAAGCTAAACTGTCTTCTGCTGGATCTCATTCATGCCCCAGGACTCTTGCACACCCAACTGTACCGTGCTGCAGTTTCTGGAGGCCTTAGGTAGACCACCTTCTCACCTAAACCTTGGGGCTCTTCCTCAGAAGAAGACCAAAGTATGCAATGGATTTTATATCTTCATTTTCAAGGATTTTCTGTTACGTGATTTATGTTGGTGAGAGGTTCTCATCTTCCCTCCTATAGGCATTTTTAGGGAATTCATGGCTCCTAATAAAAGTGCCAGAAGAGGTTGCAGGCTGTGTAGGTGCTCGTGTAAGTCCTAGAGAGTTAGGCAGGCCTGCAAGGTGAAGTCCTTAGAACGGAAGCGACACCTCTCCTGGCCGTCAGGCTCACTCTGGTGCCTCCGTGCACTGCCAGCACCCGTGGTACAGACATAGCCTCTCCCTAGGAGCGGAATAAAAGCCCACATGCAGAGCACGACTTCAAACCTGTTACTATTATTTCTAATAGTAAGTATGCTATTGGGGAGAGGGAGGGGGGAAGGAAGGGAATAAAACTTCCTCTGTTCAGTAAATTGTAACCTTTGCTGTGCAGGCCCTTCAGAGGTTGCCCCAGCCGTTTCCATTGCCTGGAGTTTGTAGTTGAGCGGTGGCTCTGACCTGGGGTGGTCAGTGATGGCATTCGCGTCCTCTGCCATCTCCTCCTCTCCTTTACCACCTCAGCTTTGCTCTGTTGCTGACCCTTGTTCTGCTCATTGTAAAATACCTGCAAAGCTATTTATTGTCTTCCTTCCCTTTTCCTGCAGGCTGCCATACCTAGAAAAACACTGGACAGCAGTTAGGTTACTGTTATGCTGACCGGTGTGTTCTCCCGTATATATCCGTCTCTCTCCCAGTTGTCCCATACGTCGTTTACAATTACATCATTTACAACAGCTCTGGGGCCAAGATCGCCCTCTTTCTTGAACAGCATCTACCTCAGTGACTTCCTCGCCTAAGGCTGCAAGTCTGGCAGGACCAGTGCCGGCAGTAGTGTGCCAGTGACAGTGGGACGCTGCTTCTGGAGACAGCGAGTGTCTTATTGTCACCGGCTGTGCGATGGGAAGGGGGATGAGAGGATGTTTCTGCTGTTGATTGACACCTGGCTTTCTTTTTTTAAAAACAAATATGCTATGATAAGTGTTTGAGAAGAATCAGTATGATCAAAGTATGGGTTCCGTAAAGGCTCATCAGGAACATCTTTTCAGCTAAACCCATTAATGACTCCTCCGTTTTGGCAGTACAACTTGAAAGTGAAGAGATGCTTTCCCTTTTTTCCCCTTTTACTTGATTTTTTTTCCTCCCTTTCTCATTCTGCCCCCTCAGTTTTACATGCTTGCAGATCGGCTTGTTGGAAACATCTTTCGGAATATATTTATCTTGAATGTGAGCATGTTATATTCCAGTGTACAGCTCTAGGTGTAAAATGTGTGTGTGTGTGTATACATATGTGTATATATGAATGTATACCTGTATATATGTATGTAGGCCATCATAAAATGTAAAGTGTCTGGATGAATTAATTTGATGTTGGGGAAACATGATTTTACCACTAACACTGATTAGTAGAAGTACTCAAATTGAGGAAATCTGGATGCTCAGAAGGTGAATTCAGATCTTCTTTGCCATCCTTATCCTCAACTGAAAGGCCTGTAAGTCGGTTTTAGTAGTTTTCTCGAGTGTTTTTACGAGGTTAAAACCAAGCTGCCGATTACAGAACTGTTCTTGAATAAATCAGCTCAGAATCATCAGTGGATTTCAGTGCACTTTCAGTCTTTGTTTAAAGCAGAAATGCGATTATTTTATATTGAATTCCTAAGTGGAAATTGAAGTGTCTCTTACAGTATAAAATATATATTCACATGTGGTTTTTTTCCTTTCTTTTCTGATATTCCTTCCACTTCCTTTCTCTGTTCCTAAAGGAAGAAATGCCCCTGGAAAGCCAGTGAGAGAGGTTAGTGGGATGCAGGCTCACTGCCATGGCTTCTGTTTGTCACAGCTTGCTTTCTGTGCCCAGCATGCGTGTGACGGCAGCACAGGTTTGCTTGGGTTTGCTGAAGGGCGGGGGTGGTTTTATTTTGCTCTGGGTTTTGTTTGATTTTGCTGAGTGCATTCCCCATGTGTGCTCTAACAGTAGCGTACCTCTCAACTTTCAATGGAAACAATGTCAGCTGAGGGATCTGCATTTTCTTACATCCTCCCAGAGGTGGAAACTCAGGAACGGGGAGGAGAAAATAATACATTGAAATTAAGCCTCTATGATAAATGCGGTCAGCGAATATGCTGCAGTCATTGACTTGCATTCTGTTGCTCTTGTATGTAAGCACAACAGGGAGACCCACGTCTCTTGCTGTTCTGCTTACATACTCACAATTGTATTTACATGTATGTGCCAATATACCAGCCATCATCTCCAGTTACTAAATAGTCTTTTTCTTTTTCTTTAGAACAGTGAGAGTTGAGAGGTATTAAGAGATTCAGGTGTTTTAATTTCCTGATACACTATTGCAGACTGAAGAATGCTACTAACATTCACCAGCTCCACAGTGTTGTATTCAGCGATGTGAATGGGCGATGGTTTTCACTGTGCACTTCGGACATGGTTGGTTTGATGCAAAATAGATTTTAGAATTTGTACATCGCTGCTTGTTAATGGAGGAAAACGTTTTGTGCTGTGTAGCACCTTTGAAAATATTTCCAGAGAGCCTTGATTTTTCCTCTGTGAAGCTGCTCTTCATTCACCAACCGATACAATGTGTGAAAGATGAATTCCTAGTGAAAATTATTATTAAAGCTAAAATATTCAGAGACTGCCTGAGTGCAATTGCAAGTGGCTGTGAAATGACCTTTCCCGCACAGAAGATGTTCGGTGTGGATGAGGCAGAAATTGAAGGGTAACCCGGTTTGCAAACTTCTGCTGGTGAGGAGAGGGGGGCTCCGGGAAAAAAAAAAAACTGCGCTGGGGTTTTTAGCAGAGCTGTTGTGAACCTCCCGTCACTGACAGGCTACCTTGGGTAAGCCAGGATTTGTTCTAATGCGGTGCCTTGTAATACAGTGGTTCTCTGCATTGGCTGTAGGAGCTGGCACAAGTCCAGCTACTTCAAGGATTAAGATCCTCAGTGCAGATTAAGTCTGTCCTCAAATGGCAGGTCCTCTCACATGGATCAAAAAAAGGGTGCTTGGGATGTCATCAATAGACTGCACCAGTCCAGAAATTCTGTGGGAGTGATTTCATATTCAGCCCTGCATGTTCTCAGCTCATACAGTCAGAATTGTTCTCCAATTCAGCAAAACAGGTTGTTGACTTCCACTATCCTCATTCATATTTATGCATATTATTCAGGAAAAAACTTCTGCTGCTGAGGGCATGTTTGATACAATTAATAAAAAATTTTTAAAAAATGGAAAAATGGGCATGTCCTACCTGATCAGATTCCAGGAGCTTAACCCTAGAAAAGTTGACTTCTTCAATGAATTGCTCACTGCTCTCCAATTATATTTGTGCTCACTGATGGTTCCAGAGCGGGCTTGGTAACTTGCAGAGCTGAATATAAAACGCAATTCTTCACCTGCTTATGAAGTATATGAGCTAAGGTATAGAACAGCTTTTGCTTTATGTGTGAATCCATTTGCGCAAAGGCAGATCGTGTGGTTTTAAACCCACCCAGCCAGGTTTTGATCCCATTACTCACATTAGGTGTTGTCTTCGTGTATAATCCCATGGATTTCGTGGTGTTACTCGATATGAATAAGGCTATCAAAATCCAAGCCACCAACAAGAAGGATTTTTCTTTTGTCGGGGAAGGGTTAGAAATCTGTGCTGCTAAAAAAGGCACTGCATTGTGTTGGGGTTTCTTAATTTACTTTCTATCCACTCTTTCAAGTCTGAATGTTCCACATTTATTTCTCTGATAAGCTGTAGTATAAGATTGGTATTCAGTTACTGTGCCCTCACCCAAGGGCCTTAATTCCAGTAGAGCCTCTGCAGCAAAATCAGCAGATATGAAACGCGTCACACTGTATGTCACCAGGAGTGATGTAGTTAGTGTCTGCAGAAATAGGTGTCTTCTGCTTTCGAAGCAAATGCACCTGTGTTAATATTCCCTCCATTTTATAAGTCTAAGTTAATACCGTGCATGTCCATTTTGAGCTTTATTGCTGCATTTCAAAGTGTGTGCTAGTTTTTTCTTATACAGTAGCATCTTTCAACCTTTCAGTGCCTTGAGTGTGAAGAAAAATTTTGCAGCTTTAAGGTTTAACAAAAAAAAAAAAAAGAATGGAATTAATGCCTTCTTTGGTGGCATTACTTTAAAAATATGAATAATAATGAGTGGGAAGCTATGATTTATATTTTTCTAAGTGCTTTTAGGACAGTATTTTTCTCATTTGCTTCTTAATTAAGAATGTCAGTCTTAGAGAGGGCAAGTAAGCAGTATTCAATAGAAGAGGCAGAGCTATATAGAACCAGTTGGTGAATTTGAGCTCTTACTTAGGTAACAGACGTTATAGAAGAGGGTGCATTCGTTACACACACAGTGCCAGGCAATTATGGCATATGTTGTTCTCAACTATTTCCAATCTTGATTGTCCTAGCTGTTACTCCCATCTCCAAGAGAGGCAAAACTGCTGGCGGTGCAATGACGCTGAGGGTTTGCCAGTTGAGTGGCTGGAGCACAGCTACATTGCCTGTTCTTCTGGCCCGTCCTTCCACCCCATGGCTGTCCTGGAGGCTGCGGTCCCCAGGATGTTGCACTTTACAGTCCAGCTATTAACATAAACTGCAATCAGCACTGGTTTATGGTCATGCTCTGAGCTGTAGACTCGTATGGCTCAGGAGGAGACACATGATTGTTCGGTTTTTCTGCAGAGCAAATTAAGACCTGTGCTAGAGAGGTAGCATGGATGGTGTAGCGGAGACGGAGTCGTATCTCCTTGATCGCGCCAGCATGCCTCTGTGCAGCTTTTGTGGAGGGAGATCAGGTTCTAAGCATGGTTATTTCAGAAATATGGTGGCATTTAACAGAGAAAAGAAAAAAAGACTAGCAGACATTCCCCTAATTTTTATGCATTAAAAGAATACCTAGGCATCCCTGGATGCATAAGGTCTTCTTGGCCCGTGTTTTAGTTGCCTGAACAATTTAGCAATTTGTGCCTACTGTGGCATACTTCTGAAAGACTTTTTTCCTATATTTTTGATTGAAGTTACTCTTTCTAGACCTAGACTCCTTCTATAAAACCAGCTTGCCTTTGTTACCTTTACAGCTCTGTTATCTGACAGAACAAAATAGTATTAGCAAATACTGATCTTTTCTGAAGATGGGATTTAGCAGTTTGGATTGCTCTAAGTCCATGGAAGGGTGATCACTCTTCCCGAGCTGGGAATGAGTGGTGTTGTTGGAGTCCCTGAAGAGCCCTGGAGTCCCATCGTTGTTTCTAGAAACAACAGATTGCAATGAAGCTGAACGAGAGGCCATGATCCCACAGGCAGCAGTGCCTTTCACAGCTGGGTACCCAGTTACGACTCTCACCACCCCCGTCTTGTGTCTGTGGGTTGCTGCAGGTGAGGAAAAAGAAGAGTATTTAAAGCCTAGAGATTTCTTGAAAGTAGTTTGCAGGGTCAGGATGTTTGTGAGGATGCTGCAGGTCACTTCAGTTATACCAGGGTTATTCTGATAAAGCCTTGATAGCACATGCTACATATGCACCTGAGCCATGTCAGAGTTTTGGGTAAGTAGAGCAAACCAGTGGCAGTTACCTTTCCGTTTACATAATAAGCATCTCCCATCTAAAGTATGTTCTTGCTTTCATATGACTTCGTCAAATTTTCACTTTCTATGGTGTAATTTGCTGGATTGATCTCAGCCTGCATGGTGCCAGTAAGAGGGATTATCCCTTACATCTAAAATAAATGTGGTAGCATACGTTTATTTTAAAGTAAGGAATGTGTTGACCAAAACTTGGCAGGAATTTTTCATATGCTGTTATTTGACGTGCTGATGAGCAAATTACAAGTTTTTGCTTAGGATGAATAAGATGGCTATACATAAATGATTTATGGATGAAATTGCTGTTTGATGCATCTGTTTCTCTGTGCATTAGTGCAATTAGTAAAATGTCACCAGATTAGAAAGTATTTCTTTGTATCGATATCTGGCAACCTGTGCCACGTACAGCACAGCTCACTACTTGAACGGGCAGCTTGTTGCGTAGTATCATTTAGATGCAGTATAGTTTTGTGTAATGAATGCTACATTTAAAAAAAAAAACAACAAAACTTTAAAAAAATAGTATTTGAATGTAAAAGGTGGTAGTAGTTCTCCAGAAGAAACAAACTTCTCTGGATATTTCTCAGGTCATTTTTTTCTATTCCACAAATGCTGCTGAATATTAACTAACATCACTCTAAGCTCCTGTGTACTGTAGAAACTTCAGCAGTGAATGACTACCATAATATTTGAACATTTGGAAGAGGATGGTGAGTTTGATTTGCCCCACAGGGAATTGTTGTTAGAGAAGACAGTTGTGTCGGGAGGGACACCCACCGTGTAGGTGGGCAGTGGTAACAGTCAGGCTCCGGCACATTACAGATAGGGACGTGCATGAAAGATGTATCCTGGATACCCTGGTCGTGTCCTTTCCTCATTTGGGTGCTCCTTCCTCAAGGTCCATGGCGAGGACGTGGCATCCAGGCGAACGCAAACCATTCCTGGGAAGCGGAGGTGTGGGCAGATGGCGTTGCACCTCCCATGTTTTTCCAGACAAATACTCTATCGCAAGTACTCTCAGGGAGTAAATCAAACCCCTCAGGCCATAGCAACATATAGTTTTATTGAGTAATACTTCCCCTGTTACATACTTTCAGTTGCTGGTACTCTGCAGCTTGGGGACTTCTTGAGTTGGAGGTCACGCGCAGTTCTTTGCATCTAAATAAATCTTTCTTCAGTGACTATTTTCTAACTCCTTTTTTAACTCATTTATGTGTTTGGCCTCAACATCAGCCTGTGGCAATGAGTTCAGTGATACAATTATGTGCTGTGTGGAGTATAATTTCCTTCTGCTTGTTTTAAGACCTTCTGTCTGCTCGTTCCTCCTTGTCCTTGCAAGAAATCTTGAACACTCAGTCCTTGGTTTGGATGCTCATTTTGCAGGGTCCCTAGATCTCTGTCATATTCCCTCTGCAGTCATATTTTTCCAGGAGGGAGAATCCAGATGGGATTCAGCTGTTTAAACCATGATGTCTCTGTCGTTTGAGATGTCAGAGGGTATTTGAGACAGTCATAGAGGGCTGCAAATCTGACACAGGACTTGCAGGAGACCCGCACTCTTCTGAAGAGCAGCTGGAGACCAGGCCAAGGGCCTAAAATGGCAACTTGTGGCAATTTAATCTCCCTACCTTCAAGTCTGTTTAGTCTCTAATTGTGATGAAGCCATTTCTTACTGATGATCAGCGTTGCTACCTTTCCTTTCCATTTGCAGTGGTGGTAAAATGAATGTGAGAAGTTACAGGTTTCATCTCCAGAATTGTACTCTGCGTTTATTTATCACTTTTGTGTAGGAGGACCACGTGTTGTGGTTATATCATCTTAGGACTTTACAGTGGTTATGGGTGAGGAGAAATGCACAAATGAACCACTGTATAGTTACTCGATAACTGTGGCATCTTTGTTTCTGCTGGACTGCTGTCTGAAAAGCAAAGGATATTTTAAAAACAACTGAATAAACTGCAGCCATTTAGTTTGGTCATCATTTTAGCTGTCTGTGCAGGTATCCTGCTGGGACCTCTTGGGTTTAATGATTTAGTTAATTACTGCTGATCTGTTTGTTTCTGTTTTTCTCCTTGGTAGAACATTGAATGGTCAAACGCTTGCAGCACCAGTTGGAAACTTTTCTGTGATGTCAGTGGATTTAATCGTTACTTTTGGTGAACGTTCATAATGATGCAGCTTCATCGCTATTCGGGGCGGGAGGGGGGAGGTTGGAAGACAAACACACTGGCTTATTGTCAACGTAGTTTACCCTAGCTGTTCAAGCCAGTATTGCTGTTAAGTGTTCTGCAAAACTGGCAACTTTTGCTAACGACAACGTATTAGACTCATTCAGGAGACTTTTGGAAAGAGCACTCTCTGGTGTACTCCACCAGGGATGGTGGCGAGCGGTACATGAAGAGTGATGGATCTGTGCTCGGCCTTTCTGTAAAATGTTCCTACCAATCTGCTGCCGTGTCTTCTTCGTTTAATTTCATCTTCTTTGACTTTCTTTTTCAGGCCACAATGTAGGGAACCTTTTCCACATGGCAGACGACTTGGGAAGAGCGATGGAAACCTTAGTGACAGTGATGACCGATGACAAGGTGTTAGAATAGCAAGATGTGTTTTACAACTTCAGGCGTCCCGCATGGTTTTTATAATATTCATACTACAAAGAGGATTAGACTGTAAGAGTTTACAAGAAAACAAATCTATATTTTTGTGAAGGGTAGTGGTACTATACTGTAGATTTCAGTAGTTTCCTAAGTCTGTTACTGTTTTGTTAACAATGGCAGGTTTTACACGTCTATGCAATTGTACAAAAATTAAAAGAAAACTACATGTAAAATCTTGATAGCTAAATAACTTGCCATTTCTTTATATGGAACGCATTTTGGGTTGTTTAAAAAAAATTTATAACAGTTATAATGAAAGATTGTAAACTAAAGTGTGCTTTATAAAAATAATTGTTTATAGAAACCCCCTTAAAAAAAACACAAAAAAAAATACTGAGGCAGTGCATTTGTTTAGTATCATTTCAGCTCTGTAACTGCATCAGAGAGATTAATGTTCTGTGTTCTTCTCCTTGCCTATCAAAAAGAAGAAAAAAAAAGTATTTCCTGCAACGACACCAAAACGGCCAACTTATGTTTCTCATTGGTTTTATCTGACTAGGGCTGGCTTAAAAAAAAAAAATCTCCTGAACTTGCAACGAAGGTAGTTATTTCACCTCTTTCCAATAAAATTAAGAATTACATGAATCACACAGCTGGTTTGCAATAATTAAATGAAAGAGCACATTACATGACAGAGCCTGCAAAAAATTGCTGAAAAAAAGCAAAAGAAAAACCCCATAAGAAAGAAGGAAAGGAAAGAATTTAATGACCATCCTGTGCACCAGCGTTTCCTCTGCTGACTGAATTCCTGAATGCTGTTAGTAAAGGAACGTAGGAATTGCCTTACCGGATTAAACCTTTGGACCCCGGTGTCCGGTACCCCGCTGGCCGCGGCCAGCAGCTAGTGCTTCAGCAGCAGGAGTTGGGCACAGCTCTCCCCCACCCGCTGCCACCGCTCGCGTCACCTTTGCTGCAGAGGAGAGGAGAAAGGGAGAAGTTCCCTCCTGACCCCCTGTGGGATCAGCTTCTGACCCGAAGCACAAGTAGGTTACTCACAGAGCATCTTCGCTTGTCCAGCTCCCAGAGCTGTTAATGAGCATGAAGCGCCTCGATCCTCTGGAAAATAAAACCAGAGCTTTCCACAATGTGTGTCTCAGCCTGCTACCGCAGCCGGACCCAAGGAGCCGTAACGCTGCGAGCAACCTTTGGGAAAGGCTGTAGAAGAGTTACTGCTGTTCTTGCGCACGTATGGTTATCAGGTGAAGGTAGCCACACTGCTCCATGAGATATTTATCACCAAAACAAAGGCCCTGGTCCTTTCTCCTTCCCCATTTCTCTCTACAAGTAATTAACAATAAAGTGAGAAAGAGAGGAACTGATAGCGAAACAGATTAGCCAGCTTGACTGCAGCTCGTGAGAGGTAGGTTTGGGTATGAGGTGCTGTCAGCAAAAGCTTTACCACTTCATTTTCTTAACGAGCTTTTAATTTTACCTTAGAATACATAGAAACACACCATCTAACTTTATATTGCAAGAGTAAAAAATCTGTTACCTCTTCTTGTATGAAGTGTAATTAAACTTGGGAAAGATTTTATTTTGAATGCTAGTTAACATTGAACACGGCTAGTCATGCTATTTCTACCTCACTTTGGTTTTGTGGTGTTCCTGACAATTACATACAGATAATGTTACATCATCACCACGTGTCCATTGTGTGACCAGGTCTCATCGGTTAAATAATACCAACAATGATAATCACTTAGAAAAAATAAGTACAATCCCCCCAAACCTCTGCTTTCCTAATAAAAAGCTTTTTTAACACTTTATTACAATAGGAACCCTCGGTATTTCTCATGGTCTTTTTTATCAGAAGGTTTAAACTGAGATCTGAGAAAGAGATGGGTTTCTTCCTTTTTTTCCCCCCTGTACGTTAAACCTCTCTTCAGAAAACAAATGGAGGAAAAATGAATTGCACGGTTGTTTTCATCAGGGTTTTGTTTTGTTTGTTTTACTTTCTAGATCTTAGTTTTGGAGTGAGTCTGTCAAAAAATATTTTAAAAGTTAAAAGCTTTATCGCTGCTTTTTTAAGCATAATTTGGGAATTATTTCATATTCCTTATAATGACAAAGTATTAAACTGTAAAACATAATCAGTGTAATTGAATACATAAATACCATATGGCATGTTATTTCATTGTTACTCTACTGGTTTATTACTTGGATATCATAATATATTGTGTTTTAACACCAACACTGTAACATTTACTAATTATTTTTATAAACTTATGTTTTACTGCATTTTTTCACAACATATCAAATTTCACCAAATATATGCCTTACTATTGTATTATATACTGCTTTACTGTGTATATCAATAAAGCACGCAATTATGTTATAAAAGGTGCAGT